TGAAAATCTTAAAATCTTAAAGTGGATGGAAAATGGATGGAAAATGGCCTGGATTGAAATCTCAAAATCCTAAAGTCTTAGATTCTTAAAATCTTAAATTAAAATCTAACAATCAATCGAACTTAGAATCTTAAAATCTGAAAATATAAAAACATCCTAAAGTCTCGGGGGATGCTGGGGATGTTGTCCCCTAAGCCGGGCCAACTTAGAAACATCCTAAAGTCTCGGGGGATGCTGGGGATGTTGTCCCCTAAGTCGGGCCAACTTTGCCGAAAACGTGCAACCTGAAAATCTTAAAATCTTAAAGTGGATGAAAAATGGATGGAAAAATGGCCTGGATTGAAATCTCAAAATCCTAAAGTAAAATCTTAAATTAAAATCTAACAATCAATCTTAGAATCTCGAGATCTTAAAATCTTCGAACTTAGAATCTTACAATCTGAAAATATAAAAACATCCTAAAGTCTTCGAATCTTGAAATCTTAAAACCCTTATGTCTTAGAATCTTGAGATCTTAAACTCTTAAAATATGAAATTCCTAAAGTCTTACAATCTTAAAATCTCAGAATCTTAAAAAGCTTTAAAAACTTAAAATCTTTAAACCTCGAACAATTGAAATCTGAAAATCTTAAATTATTAAAATATTACATTCCTTCAATCCGGGCTATATTGTAACTTTCTTAAACTTTTAATCTTGAATTATTGAAATCTTGAAACCTTAAGATCTTAAAATTACAACCTTAGAAGATAGAATCTTGCAACCTGAAAATATAAACATCCTCAAGTCTTCGAATCTTGACTTCTTAAAACCCTCATGTCGTTGAATCTTCAGATGTTAAAATCTTAAAATATGAAATTCCGAAACTCTCAAAAATCTTAAAATCTCAGAATCTTAAAAGCTTCAAAAACTTAAATTCTTTAAATCTCGAACTATTGCAATCTGAAAATCTTAAATTCATAAACAAGTAAAATATAATAAAATTCCTTCAATCCGGGCTATATTCTAAATTCCTTAAACTCTTAATCTTGAAATTTTGAAGTCTTGACATCTTAAGATCTTAAAATCTTAAATTCCGAAAGTCGCCAAATCTGAAAATCTCACAAAAAATAAAATCTTAAAGCCTTCGAAATCTGATAATGGATGGAAAATGGCTGGGCAATGGCCTGGCTGTTATAACCTTCAAAAACCTTAAATCTTTGAATCTTAGAACCTTAATTCTTAAACCATTGAAACCTTAAATTCCGAAAGTCTTCAAATCTGAGACCCTTAGAATCTCAAAGTGTTTAGAATATTGAAATCTTAACATCTACTCATCGGACTTACAGGAAAGGGAAGTGACAGAAACCCTCATGTCTTTGAATCTTCAGATGTTAAAATCTTAAAATATGAAATTCCTAAATTCTCAAAATCTTAAAATCTCAGAATCTTAAAAGCTTCAAAAACTTAAATTCTTTAAATCTCGAACTATTGCAATCTGAAAATCTTAAATTCATAAACAAGTAAAATATAATAAAATTCCTTCAATCCGGGCTATATTCTAAATTCCTTAAACTCTTAATCTTGAAATTTTGAAGTCTTGACATCTTAAGATCTTAAAATCTTAAATTCCGAAAGTCGCCAAATCTGAAAATCTCACAAAAAATAAAATCTTAAAGCCTTCGAAATCTGATAATGGATGGAAAATGGCTGGGCAATGGCCTGGCTGTTATAACCTTCAAAAACCTTAAATCTTTGAATCTTAAAACCTTAATTCTTAAACCATTGAAACCTTAAATTCCAAAAGTCTTCAAATCTGAGACCCTTAGAATCTCAAAGTTTTAGAATATTGAAATCTTAACATCTACTCATCGGACTTACAGGAAAGGGAAGTGACAGAAACCCTCATGTCTTTGAATCTTCAGATGTTAAAATCTTAAAATATGAAATTCCTAAATTCTCAAAATCTTAAAATCTCAGAATCTTAAAAGCTTCAAAAACTTAAATTCTTTAAATCTCGAACTATTGCAATCTGAAAATCTTAAATTCATAAACAAGTAAAATATAATAAAATTCCTTCAATCCGGGCTATATTCTAAATTCCTTAAACTCTTAATCTTCAAATTTTGAAGTCTTGACATCTTAAGATCTTAAAATCTTAAATTCCGAAAGTCGCCAAATCTGAAAATGTCACAAAAAATAAAATCTTGAAGCCTTCGAAATCTGATAATGGATGGAAAATGGCTGGGCAATGGCCTGGCTGTTACAACCTTCAAAAACCTTAAATCTTTGAATCTTAAAACCTTAATTCTTAAACCATTGAAACCTTAAATTCCAAAAGTCTTCAAATCTGAGACCCTTAGAATCTCAAAGTGTTTAGAATATTGAAATCTTAACATCTACTCATCGGACTTACAGGAAAGGGAAGTGACAGAAACCCTCATGTCTTTGAATCTTCAGATGTTAAAATCTTAAAATATGAAATTCCGAAACTCTCAAAATCTTAAAGTCTCAGAATCTTAAAAGCTTCAAAAACTTAAATTCTTTAAATCTCGAACTATTGCAATCTGAAAATCATAAATTCATAAACAAGTAAAATATAATAAAAGTCCTTCAATCCGGGCTATATTCTAAATTCCTTAAACTCTTAATCTTGAAATTTTGAAGTCTTGACATCTTAAGATCTTAAAATCTTAAATTCCGAAAGTCGCCAAATCTGAAAAACTTCACAAAAACTAAAATCTTGAAGCCTTCGAAATCTGATAGTGGATGGAAAGTGGCTGGGCAATGGCCTGGCTGTTATAACCTTCAAAAACCTTAAATCTTTGAATCTTAAAACCTTAATTCTTAAACCATTGAAACCTTAAATTCCAAAAGTCTTCAAATCTGAGACCCTTAGAATCTCAAGGTTTTTAGACTTTGTAAATCTTAACATCTACTCATCGGACTTACCGGAAAGGGAAGTGACAGAACGGGCAGGGCAAGGTGCCCGGTGGCCGGCTGTGTCGCGTCAGCGTGTAAATCCGGCCACCGGGGGCTTCTGACCCCGTGGTCCGTGATACGGCCGAAGGCCTAGGCCCGGAGGGCCTACCTTCAGGTACAGGGCCGGCCGCCCTGTGCCGCCGACCACCGCCGACCATGCGCTATACTTTTGCGCTGCGCAAAGCTGGGCCCACCCTTATAAGGGGCGAAGGATTTGCGGATTTGTTCAGGCGATTTTTGGCGGCTTTTTGAGCATCCCCCCGCAGAATCAAAAAACGAGTGTTTTTTGGGGGGTGCCCATAGTGGACAACATCCCCGGTATCACCTGCATCATCCGCATCCTTGGCGGACATTGATGCGGATGATGCCAGTGATGCGGGGGATGCTGGGGATGTTGTCCCCGAAGTCGGGCCAACTTTGCCGAAAACGTGCAACCTGAAAATCTTAAAATCTTAAAGTGGATGGAAAATGGATGGAAAATGGCCTGGATTGAAATCTCAAAATCCTAAAGTCTTACATTCTTAAAATCTTAAATTAAAATCTGAAAATATAAAAGTCATCCTAAAGTCTCGGGGGATGCTGGGGATGTTGTCCCCTAAGTCGGGCCAACTTTGCCGAACACGTGCAACCTGAAAATCTTAAAATCTTAAAGTGGATGGAAAATGGATGGAAAATGGCCTGGATTGAAATCTCAAAATCCTAAAGCTTAAAATCTGAAAATATAAAAACATCCTAAAGTCTCGGGGGATGCTGGGGATGTTGTCCCCTAAGTCGGGCCAACTTTGCCGAAAACGTGCAACCTGAAAATCTTAAAATCTTAAAGTGGATGGAAAATGGATGGAAAATGGCCTGGATTGAAATCTCAAAATCCTAAAGTCTTAGATTCTTAAAATCTTAAATTAATATCTAACAATCAATAATAGAATCTCAAAATCTTAAAATCTTAGAACTTAGAATCTTAAAATCTAAAAATATAAAAAACATCCTAAAGTCTTCGAATCTTGAAATCTTGAAACCCTTATGTCTTAGAATCTTGCGATCTTAAACTCTTAAAAATATGAAATTCCTACAGTCTTAAACTCTTACTCTTGAAATTGGGAAATCTTGAAACCTCAAGATCTTAAACTTACAACCTTAGAAGATCGAATCTTACAATCTGAAAATATAAACATCCTAAAGTCTTCGAATCATGACTTCTTAAAACCCGAATATCTTTGAATCTTCAGATGTTAAAATCTAAAAATATGAACTTCCTAAATTCTCAAAGTCTTAAAATCTCAGAATCTGAAAAGCTTTCAAAACTTAAATTCTTTAAATCTCGAACTGTTGCAATCTGAAAATCTTAACTTCATAAACAAGTAAAATATAATAAAATTCCTTCAATCCGGGCTATATTTTAAATTCCTTAAACTCTTAATCTTGAAACTTTGAAGCCTTGAAATCTTGAGATCTTAAAATCTTAAATTACGAAAGTCACCAAATCTGAAAATCTCCGAAAAATAAAATCTTAAAGCCTTCGAAATCTGATAATAGATGGAAAATGGCTGGGCAATGGCCTGGCTGTTATAACCTTCAAAAACTTTAAATCTTTGAATCTTAAAACCTTAATTCTTAAACCATTGAAACCTTAAATTCCGACAGTCTTCAAATCTGAGACCCTTAGAATCTCAAAGTTTTTAGAATCTGAAAATCTTAACATCTACTAATCGGACTTACAGGAAAGGGAAGTCACAGAACGAGCAGGGCAAGGTGCCCGGTGGCCGGCTGTGTCGCGTCAGCGTGTAAATAAAAAAGGAGAAGCGCAAGAGTAATAAGAAAAAAGAAAGAGGAAAAGAAACAAAGAGAAGAATAAGGGCAAGAGCAAGAAGAAAAAGAGAAACACAAAAAGAGAAGAGCATGAGAAAAAGGAGGAGCAAGAGCAAGAGAAAGAGAAAGACCGGAGAAAAAAGAGAAAGAAAAAACAGAGAGAGAGAGAAAGATAACTGTAGCTCTCATATTTTGCCGGCTTCGCCGGCTCTACTGGTTATGTGTAGTTTTAAATGCTACTAGTTGATTCATTTTGGAAAAGGAGTGAGATGTGTCAATCGATCAATCAAGCAATGAATTATGTTGGTCGCGATCTGGGTCCGAAACGTGTGAGATCTCGTCCGAAGAGAAGTGTTCCTGAGTGTGCAGTGACCCAAGGTCAACAACGATGAGATGCATTTTGAAATACAGGCAAAAGCCTGAATGCAGACCAGCATCGAAACCAGTCGGTGGACAACATGAAGCGATTTCTCATGGAGAGCTGCAAAAACCAGTAAGTGAAACGCCAACCCAGAAATGCGATGAAGCCAGTGATGCGGTTGACTCCGGGCAGATTGGCCATGACAGCATTGAATCCGCCCAAGTAGGCCATCATGCCCTGGTGTGGAATCTGAATTCAAAACGAAGAAAGCATTGATTGACTGGAACATCATGAGCCCATGTTTCTGAGTCCTGGCCTTGTTGTGAAACTCAAAGGGCTTGATGTTTGAAGAGTCCTTGTTGCTCAAGCATTTGGCCAAATACTGGCCCTCCTGGTTGGCCACCTGCGCGGTCTGCGGCAGCCAGTAGTCCTCAATGGTGGAGCAATCGCCGATGGCGAAGATGTCATCCTCGCCCTTCACCTTGAGGAACCGGTCCACCAGGATCTGGGAGCCCCGCTCGTTCATGGCGAAGCCGAAGCTCTTCACGAAGGGGTGGGGCTTGATCCCGGCGCACCATACCAGCGTGCCGTAGCGGATGGACATGCTGCTCTCGCCGAGCTTCACGTGCACCACATGAGGCTCCACCTTCTGGACGAAGGCCCCAAGGTGGACCTGGACGTTTTGCTTCTTGCGCAAGTGCGAAATGGCGTAGTCTTGCAGCTCCTGGTCGAACGTGTTCAGCAAGTCGTAAGTGAACATGTGAACTCGGATGAAGCTCTTCAAGTGCCCGTACAGCCTGGCACCCTCGTTGTAGAGGAAATCGGTGAGCTCACCACACAGCTCCACACCCGTCGGGCCTCCTCCCACCACAACAAACGTCAGCAGCTCCTGAATCTTTGCTTTCTCCTCTTCACTCATATTCGGGTCGTTGTCCAAGACGGTGTAGTAATTCGCCTCCTCCAGCTTTTCAAGGACCTCAGCGCAGTCAGGCACGTGGCCACCCTCCCAAGCAGTGATGCCTTTCTCTGAAAACCCCCCGAGAAAGGAAGCTAAGCCCAACGGGGTTGGAGCGCCTGGCGTCCTTTTTCAAAGGTCCCAATGTTGCCTTCGTTTGACCAACTCGGGCTCCGGCATGGTCCTTGAAGCGCGTGGCATCTGCAGTTTCTTTCATGAACAAGGCGTTCTCTTTGACGCCCGGGATATTGAAATCGTTCCTTGGCTGCAATTCAATGTGCCACAAGGGTTTCAAGCTTCAAGATGCTTCAAGATGTTCAAGCACTCAGGCGTTCTGAGCATCGGCTGAAAGCCGACGCCGACCACCAGCTTGTCATAGGGAATCAAGTACTCGGCTCCGCCCAAGGTCTTGCAGTTCACCAGCTTCTTGGCCTTGTCCACACCCACCACAAAGCTTTCGTAGTAGGTGGCATTCTTCTTTGCCACTAGAGGCCTCACAGGCTGGCAGATGGAGCGCTGATTCACGGTGCCGAGCGCTGAAGATGCCAACATGGGAGTGAAGAGCAGGTGGTTCCTCGGGGAAATCACCGTGACGTTGTTCCTCTTGGCGTCGATGTCCGCCAGCACGCGGAAGCTCGCCCAGCCCGTGCCCAGAATCACCACATTGGGCCGCGTGCTGAAGCCCCGGCACGCCAAGCGCAGGAAGACCGAGCGGCCCGAGCGGCCCGGGCCCAGGCGGCCCAAGCCGGCCAAGCGCATCATGACATGGGTCGCAGGAAAACAGACTTGAACCCTGTAATGCCTATTGAAGCCTGTAAAGCCTTTCAGCCATCCTGGGGGAAAGGCGGGAACTTCAAACTCTCACAGTCTCTCATACCTTTCGCTGACACTGCTCGCCCCAGCCGTCACATTTTCAGTCACGTGGAACGCGCCATCAGGTAGGCATACCCTCGCTGGGCAGCGGATCTGGGCGCTGGCCGGCCCGACTGATGCGCAGCCTTGAAATGCGGTTTCGTACTGTTACAACATTTGCGCTGCATGGGCAACGCATGCGTGTGCATTTTCGAGTGAGACGGAATGACGGGGACGCCTACAGCGTCCGCAGCGTCCTGGTGCCATCACAAAGCAGGTGGCAAGTTCGTTCTGTGACGCGTTCCTTGGAACACGGGACGTGCTTTTGAAAGTGGCCCCAAAGCTGATCTAACCCAGAAACTGCAAGCCCACAGGCTCAAGCCCGCCGCGAGGAAAAGACGCATCTGTGGCCACCCCATGCATTACCTAGCACGTGCGCTCACTCTTGAAAACCCACCTGCCTGGTGAAGAAGCCTGGCGCTGTAGTGTGTGACTGGCAGTCCTCAGCCGAGGCGGTTGCAATTTCTCGGCCGGGTGAATGTCTGCCGCCTGCCCTGAAACTGAGGAGAGCACTTGTGTAGGTTGCGGGGGACATGCGAGCCTGCAGCACAATAGGATGCTAGAACTTTCAGGCCAAGACCGCGAGCAGTGGTGCCGCAGCTCTTTTCATGCTCTGAGATGTCCTCTCGAGATAGCTGGACTCACTGCTCTGAGAGTTTCTGGGATACGATCTCGAATCCTGGCGGGCAAGGGAGCACATGAAGCACATCTCACAGCACCTCGCACAACCCCTGCCTCCAGTGCCAGGGAGCTGCGCAGCTGTTGCAGTTGCTGCTCACGCCTCTTCATTCGCTTCTGCACATCCAACTCGAAGTTGTGCAAGCCACCTCTCTCTGTGTCCGGCTCGATGTGGCGCGACTGTCTGAGGCAGTGCTGCTGCTTGGCTCGCATGCTGCGCAACTCAACTCGAAGACTGCGGGCAACCTCGGCTTCCTGCTTCGCAGCGAAAGTCTCTGCACGCAACGCATCTCCAAGGGCTTGGATCCCGTTCTGGCTATCTTCCTCTGCCTGCACCTGCTCCGCCTGCCAGGCTTGCCTTTGCGCGACGAGCAGCGCTCGTTCTCTCGCCTCAAGCTCCCTCTGTTTCTCTTTCAAATCAGCCAAGCTGTTGACTTCGTGCTTTAGCGATTCCCTAACACTCGCGTTGCGCTTGCTGCTTAGGCGGAGCTGACGAAGCGCTTCAGACTCAGCCCTCTGCTCAGCAGCACGCTTACTGCCCGCAGCTCCCAACTCCTTCCGCAGCTGCAGCGCCTCACTCAGCACCTCTGCCACTTCCCCTTGCCTCGGCGCCTGTTCAGCCAGCTCCTCCCGCGCACGTTGCCATCTCACATCGATCTCTCGTTCTCTCTCCTCTCCCTCCTCTCCCTCTGCCTTTTCTCTCGTCTCAAGCTGCAGGAGGTGGGCGTCCGCACGCAGCGTCTCCTCCTCCAGCTCGTGCGACAAACGCCATGCTGCCTGCGTCAGGCTCCGCCGGCTTCGACGGCTGCACTCCGCCTCCATCTCCGCCTCGCCTCTCTCCAAACGACGCGCCAAGGTCTCCAACTGACGAACGGACCGCAGCTCCGCATCGATGCCGGCCGTGTGGCCCGCGCCGCTGCCGCGCAGCTGGTCCAGTGCATGCTCTTCTGCCGAGAGCTCCGCGCAGCATTCGGCCAGCTCAAGCTCTCGCTCTTGCAACGAATGGTGGTAGTGATTCAAGACCTGCTGCCAGCAACGCTTCTCCAGCGATTTCACTTGAAGTTGATCTGCCTGCGCCTTGGAAGATATGCCAAACAAATACCCTTGCTTGCCTCTGACATCCTGCTCCATGTGTTCCTCCCACAGCTGACAGAGCTGCTCCTCAGCTGTTGCAAGCTCATTACAGAAGCCTGCGTGAGCCTCTGCTTCAAATCCTCTACGGACGCGCAGCGACACCAGGAGGGCAACCACCTCTGCTGCCGTCAAGGCAAGAGCATCACTAGAAATGTGGGCATCAGTTTCGTCAGCGACCTCCGTGTGTCCATTGGCCACATTCCCCGGCTGCAAAAGCTGGCAATTTGCTTGCAGAAGTCGCGCGGACAGGCGGCTCTGCAAAAGACCAACAAGCAGATGCGCGTTCTCCAATTCCAAAGGAAGCATGCTGCTCCGCAGGGACTGCGGAAGCAGCATCTCCAGCTCCAGTAAGGCATCGGACTCTGTCCATTGCATCGTCACAGCACACTGCCAAAACTCGAGCCGATTGAACCATTGCCTTCATGCTTGGATTGAGCCTTCAAAATGCAAATGCCATTGGACGCGCAGTCTCAGTACACAGACGGTCCTGCATAACGGGGCTTCCCCACTGCCTCAGTGCCAATCGGAGCCACATGAAACGGCCTCTCAACAATCTCAGGCGACCGCACAGGCTGCACACCTCGGGTCGAGCAACGATGCCATCGTTGCCGTCACTCACCAGTGCCGCTGAAGGCGCAGGGCTGCATCGTAGGCAACCGGTATCCGTGGTACAGGACCTCTGCGCTCTCTCGTCAGTCTTGATCCCTGCAGTCTCGCAGTGCTGTCTGCCTGCGCCGGGCTCCCCGGTACAGGTTGTGGCCTCGAGAAACACGGTGTTCCCGGTCCAGCCCAAAAGGCACATGAACAAGTCCTGGTTTTCTGAGAGGCCCAAGCGAGCCGGGTCGTTGGGTATCTGACCTGCGCAGCTACATAGAACTCTGTGCGTCGTCTGCATGGGAGCGCATGCGTGTCACGCCAGCCTTGAAGCCGTGTGGCAATCCTGGCAGTTGAATGCCAAAGTGACAGGTGTGTCGGTGGTTTTTGTTTGTGGTTCGGTGTTGATGTCTGCGTGTTTCACACTGTTGCTTCAGTACATCTGTAGAGTTGTGCAACAAGTCCTGAATGCCTTTTGGGTCGGTTTGCGGGCGGGGGGAGTGCAAATGGTTTGGGGTGAGTTTTAGGATCAAAGGGCAGGGTGGCTTTTGGGTGGGTTTTGGTGGCTTGAGGCTGGGATGAAGGTCATTTGAGGGGTGAGTTTAGAATACAGCAGGTTAAGGGTTCAGCGTGGGTGCCTGGGATTCGGGTGGATTTAGGGAGGGATTGAGATTGGTTCAGTTTTGCTTGGGGTGTTTGGGTAGATTTATGTTGATTTGGGGCGGGTTTTGGTTAAGATTCAGTCTGTTTGAGGAGCTCGTGTATGGTGAGAATGGGTTTGGGCCGCCTGAAATGAAGGTGGCTGGATGAGATTTCAAGTTATGGGCTGCAAAGCTGAGCTTTGTGGACCGGATGGACGAAGCTTCGACGCAAATTGACTGCCAACGGTGTCTGAACATGACGGAGCTGTGCCTGGCACACGTGCACGGGGCCAGGCAGAGTGGCGACCTGCGGCTGCAGCTTCTGGGAGGAAAAAAAAGACGGCATACAACAGAAGAATTATCTTCAACGCATTGACTCCCTGAGCTCAACAAGCAAACCACCTGCGAAGCTTGCGGAGCTTCTTGGACCTCTGCTGGAGGATTGCCTGCCGAGGCTTCGTCGAAGCTTGTGAGACATGCTGACGCTTTGCAGCCAACGCTGTCAGCGCAACCAGCCAAGCTCAACGGCTCAAGCCCTGAACTAAGGCAAACCACTTCAAAGGAGCACCAAAGGAGTGTCAAGGGTCTAGGGACACCGGACCGCACTTGGCGTCATGGAATGCTTTTAACCCATGGCCCAGCGCGCGCGCAATCTCAAGTTCCGCATTGCACTCGCAAAATGGAGCCTCGAACCAGCTGGCTCTCGCTGGAGCTTCGCTCTACCTGACACAGTTCAGCCAGCGACAGTCTCTTTCTCCTGTTTGAGCCAAAGTCTTTTTTTTTCTTAGGGGGAGAAACAAACACGAACACAACTCGCACGCCCACCAGTATCGTTGATGTGCAAAATCATATACAAATATAATTCAGGTATATCATTAAATTCAATGATATCAGGCTCACTGAATATTGACGCACACCTCTTTTGGCTGCAGCTCGTGATTCATCCCAGTTCACCCTTGGGTCAAAAAGAGAGGGCTCACAGGCCCAGTCCGGGAAAAAACTATTGCTGCGAGCGACACCCTCCCACCGCACCCTCTTGAGTAAAGCGGTGGCAACAAAGAGTATGAACAAGGTGTCGAGACACATGCAAGTCAAGGCATCTCAAAAGGACAGACACGGTTTCAGACATGGCTGTTCCAAACAAAAACTGAAACCAAATGGTTCGAAAACTGGTTCGGGTGCAAAACTGTGCCTGTTGTTGTCCACGAAGGCTTCCCCCACCTAAAAAGACCCGGTGAAAGGGCTCACCGTGTTTGGCTTCATTCAGAGAGAAGGTTTTGTCCACAAGTGGAAATGTCCTTCTCCTGTTTGAGCCAAAGTCTTTTTTTTCTTAGGGGGAGAAACAAACACGAACACAACTCGCACGCCCACCAGTATCGTTGATGTGCAAAATCATATACAAATATAATTCAGGTATATCATTAAATTCAATGATATCAGGCTCACTCAATATTGACGCACACCTCTTTTGGCTGCAGCTCACGGCCAGGTCAAGGGGAATATATATGTTGGGTGTCGTTCAGGAACACCCACAAGAGAATCACCGGTTGACCATTTCCAGAGTCATGGACTGGTCGTGATTCATCCCCCTTTTACCCGACCAGTGTCAGCCCGGTGATACCATATCGAGGAGCTCCGACGGGAAAGGAAATTCACAACAAGTTGCGTTCCGAAAAAGAGGCATCACTTCGTGAGATCTCTGACGCGAGGGTGCATCCGCCACGTTTGAGGATGAAGGCACCCGTTCAATCCAACTGTGAGTGGGTAAGTCGACGTCCACCAGATAAAAGGCCTTAATGAGGCGCTGCATTGATTTGCTGGCGCTCAATCCTTTGATCAACCAAACCTAGCCGCCTCGTTGTCCACCCAAAAGATTGAACGTCGGGCGTGCAAAAGTTCACGAGTCGTCCAGCGAATCAAAACGAGGGTGAACAGCTCGATCTGACAGATAAGCTGGTTGCCAACCTCAACGAGCCAGAAGTCCAACAGCGATTGGGGGACCAGTCCAGAGAACACCCAAGACGAGCCATCCCGAGTATCATGAATGCACGCGCCAATACCTGCTACCCCTTGCTCCCAAGAACCATCAGTGAAGACAAGGATTGGTTCAACTGCACTGCCAGAAACAAGTCGCCGAGGCTTGCTTGTTTTCAAAAGGTCAACTGCCTGCTCACAAAAGGCTCGGATAAGAAGCGATTTGTTACGCGAAGGGAGCCTGCCCAAAGCTAGAGCTTCTGCAGATAACTGATGCAAGGCTTTCCCCAAGTAAAAGCCGCCGGAATATCTGAGCAGGCCATGCAGCACTTGTGATTCATGCAGAGTCAAGTTCCCGCTCGCATGATGAGCTTCCAGGTGCTCAACCAAACGCCGTATGCGGCCTGCTTTGTTTCCCACCGTTATGACTCCTGCCGCAGTCTCGTTCAGGTCCAAGGTTGCCCCAAGCACATCGAAGGTGTAACGGAACGGAAGGCCCTTGGGCCCTGTGCGGGCGTGACGCCACCCCAACAGGTCCAAGAGAAAGCTAGCCGCGGCATCTGCGTCCTCAGCAGTTTCTTCCGGTGAGAACATTGGAAAATCATCGTAGAAGAAGGACGTGGGGATGAGGAGCATCTTATTGAGGAGGTACCAGAGGCTTCTGCTCACCCGATTAAACGAGTACACCGCAGCCGTGGATCCAAACATAAGGGCGTTGGAAATATAGAATTTCGCCCGCCCCGAATTGTCATGGAAAAAGATGACAGCCAGGTCTCGATGGGCGGGTTTTACCGCAAGTTGCTTGTAGGCTTTGGAAAGGTCAAGGCATTTCCCCAACCAGCGCCCAGAACCGTGGGATTGGCAACCCGACTTGACAGCCTCTGCGATCTTGAGGGCCATCCCTGCTACATAGTCGACATCCTGAAGCTTCAAATAGAAGGTTGAGGTATATGCAAAATTCAACTGCGCCTCCAAGCAATCGTCGATTGGTCTAAGCTTCATCTCGGATCCCTGGACCAAAACAAAGCGTCGGATCACCGCCCAGTCCGAGTGGCCCAGATGGTCTGTGACTTCCTGTTCGGAGTCGAAGGGCCCTTCCAGGAAAGACATGTCAACCTCCTCCTTGGTGGCGTCTTCAAGGTGTCGCACATGCTCAGGCTCGATTGAGTTCACTTTCCTACCCAGAATTGCTTTCCTTCTCCACCTTGCCGAAGTTCTAAGATCTTCTTCTGTCAAAGTGGCCGGCACTACTTTGGCTGGGTAGCATGGGGGACAATCAGGCATGCCTACCAAGGGAACTCCATTGACCATATGATCAAAAATTCCCATGTCGTCAAAACCATATTGCAGAAGCAGGGATTTCCAGAGAAGAAGCTTTTTGCCTGCGAGAACCTTCCGCACAGATGGCTGCATGGCACTGTGAAGGGCGCTCTCGTCATCCGCTTGCCGCAAAAGCAAGAGTCGTGCCTGCAACAAACGCTTCTTCCGCTCCAGTTTCAAAAGCTGAGGGCTCATCCGAAAAACGTGGTCCAGAGCAAACCGGGTAGGCTCCTCCAAGTGGTTGATGGAATCCATCGGGTGGGCAAGTTTCTTGGCCTTCTCCAAAAATTGGCTTGGTGTGTGATAGAAACCAACTTTGACCTTGTCAGCCAGCAAATGGTCTTCATGGTTGCTGGCTGGGTGGTCCCGAGGCTCCTCTGAGATACTGCCCCCTAAATGAGGAGCCATGAGCTTGGCCCCTGCAGGGATTGGTTCAGTTGCCAGCTGCGTAGCAAAACGCAAAAACTCTGAAATCAAAGGCAGATGTTTACGCGTCTGGCTGCCCTGCGCGGCCGTGGCCAGGTCGCACAGCCTTGGGCGCGGACTGAGAACCAATTGCTGCTGTTGTGCCACATGGACCAGGCATGCGGCGGCTCTTTGCGCTAAAAGGCGCGGGTAAGCCGCTTCAAGCGAGGTGGCAAACGTCCACTGACTGTTGCGCAAACTCACATTGAAAGGTTCATGGGGATGGTCATAAACACAAGTGGCCTGAAGCGGGTTGAAAACATCCTTGGTTGAAAGCCAGCCTGTCTGTTTTCGCCGTGTTGAGCCATGGCAACATGAATGAAAAGAGACCAAATGCAAAGCATTGTAGGCTGTGGCCGCCAAAGAGTCGTCACGGCCTCGGACGATGGCCACCATAGCCGTCCACAACCAGCTGCGCAAAGGATTCTCAATGCTGATAACGATTTGGGCTCGATGGCAGAAAACCAAAATGTCAACAACCAGCTCGTAAAGGACGTTTGCAGCATCAACTTTGGCCTGATTGTAATCTGAAAGGTTGGGTAAACCAAGAGGGTGTTGAGCGGACCTCAAAGGCGGGGGTTGTGGCACTCCCTGGGCTCGCAAGGACGAGGATATTGGGCGCTCTCTTGCGCGGCTCGCCGTGCCACAAGGGGCACCCAAATGTACTGCAAAAAGGTGGGGTAGAGATAGCAACTCCCACAGGATTTTCTGCCCGCCTTCGGAGGCCAGATCCAAAAGGAGAAGAGGGACAACAGGGCGATTCATCTCATGATCAATGCTAATAACTGCAAACCCAGCCTCAAGCATTGCCCGAGAAAAAGTGCCCCCGCCGGAAAATACCTCAATAAAGAGGGGCTGCTGTGTGCTGGAAGCTGCACACAGTGAAACTGATTGCGCTGACTGTCAGTCTGAGTGAGTGCATTGGTGGTGCGGTCGCAACCTGAAACAGCCAGCCTGATAACATTTGTGAAATCCTCGAGCACAGCGCTTTCCGGCCGGGCCCTTAAATTTGCACTTGCCTGTTTGAAATGCAAAGCACAAGGGTTTTCCTTCCGAATCATGGGACACGCAACCATCAGGTAATTCAAGACGATTCGACCCCTTACCAGAGGCAGCGCCTTTGTTTCCCTTGAACTGGGTTTTTGGTTGCTTTGCAGGGCGTTCAGCAACTGACTGAGGGGCGGCCCTAGCCGCCGGAATGGGCGCCAAATACTGCCAAACATCTGGCGCTCGTTGAAGTTCGCGAATGGCCTCATCCAGTGGCCGAGGGGCCGGTGGTGTTGTCTGCAATTTGCCCATAGTCTTGTGTGAGGCCATGATGAACATCTGCTTGTCACATTCAATAAGTTGCTGCAAGGTAACCTTGCTGAATCCTCTGGGCTGATCCTTCACCAGCTGCAAAAACAGGTACTGAACCCAGCTCTCAATCACTTGAAAGGAAGCCAAATTCGCTAGGTCCATTGCAAGGCTGCGTCTCTGCCAGGCCGATTTGAGCTTGATCTCCGTGTTGGCCTCGCAAACTGATTCACCAGTTTTGGAGCTGAGCTTAAGGTGACCAGAAGAATCCGTAGCAATTGACGAATCCTTCCTGACCGATTGGACTTCTTGTGACCGACTACAGCATTGCTCTGCTTTGACGTAAACCAAAATGCCCGACTCATACATCTCCACAAAGGAGTCCACCAGACTATTCGCAGGTATAGTGTCTGGTGTGAAAATCACACCACCAAGGCGCTTCTCCTGATCTGCCTGCCGGGCAACTCTCTCAGCGGTTGGCAATTTCTTGACAGCTGCAGAAACGTCAGGTGTAGCCTCGACCCGAGATCGCAAATCTGAAAGAGCCAGAGTGTGCGATTCGAAAAATAGCCTTCGCATCGTTGCCATTTGCTGATCAGTCGGGGCAGCGCCACACAATCGAGTCACCAGCACCCGAAAAGGGGCCTCATCTGCCAGCTGTGGATTGTACTGAGTTGAGAAAGCAAGGCGCCCAAAGGTTGCAAGGCCCTGCGCCTTAAGCGCATCGAGCAGTGCAGTCTCAACACCGATCTGGGCGGCCCGCTCCAAAAAGGCTGCCTCTGAGTCAAGTGTAGCCGCGGCCATGCCGTAGAAACTACCACAAACGAAAGTCTGAAACCTAGCCACGGTGAAATTCCCCAAGTTGATGGGACACACAACAGTGCAGGTCTGCCAGATTCTGCTTTGCCCCACCTGCTCGGATGCAGTTTGGGCCACGCAGGGGCAGGAAGCAACAAACATGTGGACAACTTGACATGCACCGCGAAAGGACAAAGGTCAATCACGCATGTTGTAAGCACTCACAGAGTCAGCCCACCTTTTCCTGGCATCGCAACGGTGCCATGGTTGGACAGGTGGGCCTGCCAACGAGGCGGTCGCGCACCTCTTTTAAAGAGCAGCTCTGATGCTGCGCAGTTTACTAGCGGGTCGGCTTCCGCTTCTGAAGTGCTCGGTTGCACTGCATGCACTCTTCAAGGTCAATGCTGCCGGCAACAACATCATTGAAAGTGCAAAACTTAACCGAGGGGTTCCTGCCGCAAATTGAAAATCCATCCTCGTTCACAACATGCGTCACACCAGAAATGGTGTGGACAATCAGCACATCACTGGAGAGCCCGGGAAAAAGGGTTCGTTCCTCCAGTTGATCATCGGCTGGACTTGCTAGGGCATCTTCATCAGCCGGAATGTCAGCCTCGGAATCAATACTTGACTCAGAAGACGAGTCCTTTGCCATCCTGAGCCGCAGGTTCCTGCACAGCGTCGGTATGCTCAGAAGGTGGTCCGCAAGCAGATGATTGCGCCGCCTGCAACACGCGGTCGACCGCAGGGAGGTCAGGATTGAAACTGCCCGCCCTGATTTTTGCAAACATAGCCAGGACTTTCCCATAAAGGGCAGTGTAGGCCTCGCGCGAGTAAGTCAGGACGGACTTCATACCAGGTTTGACGTGGTGGCCCATCAGCCTCCGCTCGCCAGGCGAGAATACCACTTCAGTCGACCTTCCAGCCCACGTCAGCAAAGTTGGTTTGCAGCTGTGGGTAGCATAGCTATGAAGGCTCTCTGTCGGAACATCGATAGTTGACAAAAACTCGCGCATCCAGCAGGTAGCCTCTGGGGCACTCATGGGGTCAGTGATCCATTCGCCACGGCTCTCCGAGAAGCTTGGCAGAAATTCCGGATAACGATCAAGCCGTTCTGCGGCCCTGGCATCAATCCAGCAAGTAGCCCAATCCTCACCACTCACACCTGAACCCAGCGCCACATAAGGTAAGGAGCGCGTTTGCGCCTCCGCCGTTTGTGTGGTCTTTGACTTAAGTGCAACAGCATGGACGAGGGTCTCTGATTGGCCGCGTTCCAAATTGATGGATCTTAACCTCAAAGAGTCTTTCCATCGGCAACAAGCATGCACACAAAACAGCAGTTGGCCCAAAATACAAGCTTCGCGAGACGGCAGGTGTTTGATCAAATGCTCCAGCTTCCTGACATGAGACACCAAGAGGGGTTGCTTCTGTTCCAGTGGGTCCTTGGTGAGATACATGTCCCTGGCCACTCCTTTGCATCGACCAGAAACAACAGTCCTCAAGTCCAAGGAAATAAACTTGGCAGTGCCTTCCAGGAAAAACAACGCTTCAATGAGATGTTGTGCAGAGGTAGCACCTAAACCCCACGCACGCATGTCACAGAGGTGTTCGTAGAGTTGGTCCTCGGTGAATCTCAGGGGCTTCCAGCTCTTCAGGCGGAATGCTTGAGCAAATCGATGAAGAGACCCTGATCTCTTCTGGAGTGTCGAAGAGGCCTTCGGTCTGAAACAGTCTGAAAAAGATTGACTGATGCTGTCAGCCTCCGAGGACTCACCCAACAGCTTTATCAGGCTCTTGCCCAAGGCCGTCGCACCCGGATCATCTAGGAGAAGGTCCCTTAGTCTTCCGAGAGCAACTCTTCGAATATCTTCATCTGGCTTTTCATGCCTGGCTGATTTCAATCGAAGGCTGATTTTTGATGGGACCTCCATGTCTGAACAATCGCGTCCTCTTGAGGCAACCTCCGGGACAACCACCGAGTCAAATGTGTCTCGGGCTCCAACACCAGTTGGTAGGAGCATATTCTCAATTCTGGCGCTCAAATTATCTGCAGCACTTCCGACAGGGCCCAGAACCGCCACCAAGGAGTTGTGTTCCCAGGGTAGACGAGGCCGGTCAATTCGGGCTCTCTTATTGACAGTTGCAAGGGCCTCATACTTCCAGCGATGTTCAGATCCAGAAGGGTCCACAATTTCCAGCCGCTGAGAAATATTGTCAATAAGGACACCATCCTCAGAACAATTCTCGCAAACAGAAGTGTCATCAAGATTAGGCTCACCAGCTTCTGCAGGGTCACCGTCTTCGACACCAACCGGCCCTCCCGAAGGTGTACGCGGGTCGGGTTCGAAATCCCGGCTTGGATCTTCAGAGCTCGGGCCTGTTAGCCAGCGCTTCCGAATGCCCCGCGCAGAAGGGATTTCCAAAGGCTGATCTCCTTCCATCATGAGCCGCCTGCACACACCCCCTTATTGCGGCCAGCAAACACATATGTCGAGTCAGCCAAAAAGATCAAATATTGCAACAACCATCCAGGTTGAAAAGGCTCGCATTGCTGCAAAAAAAAACTATTGCTGCGAGCGACACCCTCCCACCGCACCCTCTTGAGTAAAGCGGTGGCAACAAAGAGTATGAACAAGGTGTCGAGACACATGCAAGTCAAGGCATCTCAAAAGGACAGACACGGTTTCAGACATGGCTGTTCCAAACAAAAACTGAAACCAAATGGTTCGAAAACTGGTTCGGGTGCAAAACTGTGCCTGTTGTTGTCCACGAAGGCTTCCCCCACCTAAAAAGACCCGGTGAAAGGGCTCACCGTGTTTGGCTTCATTCAGAGAGAAGGTTTTGTCCACAAGTGGAAATGTCCCTCTCTATCGATTCGATTCATTCGACTTGCACCTCCGAAAGCTTCCGTCGCAGCATGTCAGCACCCATTGAAAGCAGGCCTTGGGAATAACCAGGCGTCAAGGTGCAGATTCTGGGAGTTCCAGCACAATGGGCAAGCCTTTGGCCCCGAGGCTTGCGCCTAACTGCTTCCTCATCACATCTAGCTCATTGCGCATCTCCTTGGCGCGTGAAATGAATAGATTCAAGCGCACAACTTGTCTAAATGCATGCAGCATCTGATGGCCCGCGTGCATATTGCCGCCAGAGTTCCATGCTGACATCCACAGATGAGGATGCCCTTGTCCTGAGCCAGCAATTTGAAGGGTGCCCCGTCATGCACAACCATGCCAGCGGTTCGTCTGTGAGGCATCATCCTTCTCCTGAAGACAACGCTTCGCATGTCACACTCGCCTGGCTTCATATGGCTTCGTATGGCTTCATATGGCTTCATATGGAGACAAATGGCTTGGTCCTCCACCTTCCTCTCGTCCAGCGCCGAGAGGCTCGAACGCAGACTTCGGCTCGGGCTCCGAGGGCTCCGAGGGCTCCGAGGGCTCCGAGGGCTCCGAGGGCTCCGAGGGCTGGGGCTCCGCTCGGGCGAGCCGCAGCGGCGCCCGGGGTATCTGTGCTCCTAAACCGAATCCGAGGGACACGGAACGTGGGTTTAGCACCAACGTCTCTACACGGCACACGTCGATGACCTCTATCATTTAGGGCTCCTCAGGACCTTTGAAAGAGCAGTAGCGCTGAAGGCGGCCTGAAGCTGTGTAGTCTGTGTCTAGTCTGACCGATTGCGCAGCCTGTGACTCAAGGTGAAGTCTATCCCAACAAGAACTTTTAACCATCCTTGATCTCAGACAAGGGTGTCGGAAGACCACGGCACGCATGGCACACAGGATCCAGTGCCTTTGGCGGAATCTCAGCGCTGCACTGGGAGAGTAAAGTCGGCTTCCACGGCTCATGAGCTCTTTGGCCTTGGCAAACGGCGCCTCGGTCGAAACAAAAGTCTCGCTCACTTGATAGCGCCTTTCTTCTCAGACTTTCCTTCTCCAAGGCAAACACCTGCGCAGACGGCCGCATGAAACAGATTAAGTCACAATGCCAACGAGAAAAAACAACGAAAAGAGAAAGAGAGACGGACTTCCACCTCCTCCACAAATTCTTTTCTCCTGCGGAAAGTGCGCTCTGCTTGTGGAATATCGGCATATCTGTTCATTCTCTTCCGCTCCTCTGTTTCAGAGACATGCCCTCCTCGTAAAGTCGCTGGCAGACACCTACAGTACAGCAAAAGCCGCTAGCTGAAAGGCTTCAGAGGCCCAGCCTCTGGAGCGCGGGCTTGAGCACCTAAGTTACTAAGACTCGCTCCGGTTCGTGGCAAGGCCGGGAGAGGCCAAGAGAGAGGCCGCGGCGAGCGCGGCGAGCGCGGCGAGCGCGGGGACTTGGGCGACCTCGAGCTCGTGCATGGGGAGTGCTCTCGAGTCGAAGCCCGAGGATGCGGCGAGCGTGCCGTCGGGGCCGTCGCCTGCGCGCATCACGTATCGACGACGGCTGAAGGCTTCCTGGGGCTCCCGGCGCTGGCGCACTCCTGGCACCGGGCTTCCCTGGCCATGAAGCAAGCAACGGTCACTCGACATCTTCCAGATCTGGGCTTCACTGCTTCACTGTTTTCCGCCTGCCCTGTACATGTCTCGGCACGCTGGCACGCCCTGGCAGCTCTCGGCCGCCAAGCGCGAACTAACCCAGATGTGAGCGTGCGCTCCTCGGAGCGCAAATTACAACAGCTCCAAGCTGCGCAATGAAAGAAACAGGCCCGATTTTGCCTCGCTCAATTGAACGGTGCTACATGAGGCACTGCATGGCACTGCAGGCGCAATTCCATGCCTAAGGCCCTTTTCGCCCTCTACGCACGCACCGTCTTCACCAGGGCATGCAATTCCTGGCCCGCGCTCGCTGGAGAAATGCGCCTCGCCTTGATCCCTGGCAATGGAAGCGTGTGCAACCGGGAAATGGGGTCCTGCTCCAGCTCCTTTGAGATCTGCGTGGCGACCTCCGACATTTGACGAAGAATTCGGGGGTGCGCTCTTCCCAAAAAGAAGAAACACATCTTGGATTAGCCATTTGTCACAATGAGATCATATCGACACTTATCTCCGCAAGCACAAAGTATCACTTCTTGCAACCCCTCGTGTTTCCCACAACATGTTCTACCAGACATCCACAAGACTAGCGCAAGTCAGCACAAGTTGCGTTGGCTTTGCAAGCGGTGAAGCAATCGACACTCACAACATGTCCACCAGTGTCTGAAATCTCACATGTCACATGTCTGAATCTTTTCTGACGTCCGAAAATTGGCAGGGAGCATCTACTCGTCCATTTTTGAAGCTCGTAAAACACACGCTTAGAAACTCAAGTCTAGGTTGAAAGCACACAGCTGTTCCACAGAGCTGCGTCCTTGGCGCAGCTCCTTGCTTCGTAGAGCGCATCCCTTCTTTGGCCAAATGGATATCCACATGCGGCTGGCGCTAACACAAGCAACAAGCATGGCAACGATAACGTGAACATGATGTATGGCACACCCAAATGTAAGATAGCAGGCAACTTGTAAGGCTGCGTGTGATGCTGTGCCATGCTAGCTGGGTGGTGACACACGAAGCCGAAAATGATCCCCACACACACAAACCCCGAGTTGCCTGGCACTGGCCCGCGAACACGAGGAAGAAGCGCGTGCAAACCAGCTCCTCGCTGGTCGCCACCCATATCCTTTGGCCGCGAATGCCGCAAATTGCTACCGAAAGCCAGCCTTCGGAAGCCAGATTGCATACCCAGGCGCGATGGGTTCGGCTTTTTCAACCGCTCGGGATCATCCACGACCTAAGTCCAATTGGCTTGCCAGAGTTGTGACATATGACATGATATGAACTGGTTTGTGGCAGCACGGCAGCACGGCAGCCGCCTCGCACACCGCCATCATGATCAGGCCACCCTGATTCTCCACGAAGCGGTTGCCTGACTCTTTCACTTGTGCTAGCACGAAACCAGCAAGATATGGCCCGGGTGCCATCACGGAGCCAAAAGCAAAACAAAAACTCTGGAAGGATCCGACCTACAACGTTCGGAATAACGTGCTCTTGCCTGCCCTGCATGACCTGAGACATCTGTCAGCTCGAACTGTCAGCTTTGAATAGGCAATTCCAGCCTACCGCGCTAGACCTCGAACCACAACATCACTCAGACAACATCAGAACGTAACAAAGCGTCCATGCCATCGGGTCACCAAAGGACCATGTCGCGTGAACAGGGTCAACAAACACATGCCCCGGGCCCCGACTCTCCCTGAGTCGAGCCAGAGGCCAAGCTGCCAGTCTTCTGCCGTTTCACCCCAGCTTCGTCGTGTGTCTTCATCCCGCGGCAGTACGCTCTGGAGACAGAACTCTCCTCTCAAGCCATGCAATGCTACTCGCTCAGGACTCGAACCGTTAGGAAGCGATTCGAAGCTAGGAATCCCAACCCGAGAGCCAGCTCACTTTGCCGCTCCTGCGAGAGGTAAATCCCAGGACCGAAGCGAGCTCCGCTGGTCATGAGCTTGGTATGCGAGGCGTTCCTGACATCCCCACATGCTGTGCAGACATGACACGCACCCCACAAAAGTCAGTGCCCGCGTGGCCAAGCATCTTGAGACCATTTCGAAGGATGGAGTGCCAATTTTCCGAAGCGCTACCTGCAGCTGGCAGCTGAAGGTGTCTGCAAAAGGTAGAAAGGGCGAAACAGACTCACCGCATGTCCTGTTCACGGCAAAGCACAAACAAAATGTGGGGCAAAGGGAAATGACAGGGCCATTGAACCGCTTGCGCCTTGTTTGGGCAGCTTGGCATACCTCATAGAGGAAACCTACTTTTAGGAGAGCCAGCCATTTTGGTTCCACGAGATTGAACGGCAGGAGTGGCAGCAACTAAGTAGGGACAGTTCAAGCTAGGCAAAAGGAGTAAGCATGCCAACGAGCTCGCATAACAGCACAAAAAGCTGAGGTATGGCAAAGAACAAGCAGGAAAACAACCTCCGAAAAGGACGAATGACTACCACGAACTTGCAAGGAAACCATGGACCAGCAAAGGCAGCAACACATTCATTGCTGGTTTTGGTGCATCAAAAGGGCAACTTGATGACACCTCGACCTTGGCATGCATGAGCAAGTGAAACATGAGGCTCGAGTGTTGATGGATGGACCTTACATGCCGCGTTTCTGGCTCATGCTCCTTGATGCGATGCGTGCAAGTATGGAACTCATGCACCTGTACTGTTGTGTGGATTGACTTCGGTCGCGTTCATGGCCAAGCGTGCACTTTGTCTTTCGCGCACAAATCCTGTTCACGTGGGCGCGTGTGACTCTGAGTGAAGCTTGCCTTGATTTCGATGCGGACCTCTGTGTGTGTGTGTGTGTGTGCTGGCAAAAACATGCACCTTGAGCTTGGTTGACAATGACAAACCAAACGTGCTTCATTTTTGTGCACTTCGACAAATCGGATTTACACCTGGACTGTGGTCGCGTTGGGAAATAAAATGTGCCCCTTTATTCCTGTGCCTGCGTGGTGGAGTAGCAAGCCCCGTGTCGTTGCATTATTGGCATCAAACTGGGAAAGGGTTCGGAGCAAAGTTCCAGGAACCAAACAAAAGGCCTGCACCAACAGTGTAGCGGCTCTCGGCGGGCAACAAACAAGAACCAACAACCCGTTGTAACAAGAAAACACAAAGAATATATCTTAGCAATTGTGCACACTACTGTCGCAAGGTGGAACTGGACCTGAACATTGTTGGCAGATGACACTGTTTCTTTGACTATACGTTCGACTTTGGCCGACGGATACCTTTGGCGGATGGGTCAGTACCGAGCTCGGTGCAAGTCAACAGCCATTCAGCAATGCAACAAAGCGCGGCAACACAAGGAGCAATTGGACAACTTCTACGTCTCAAGGCAAGATGTCTGTGGGGTCGCATGAACAAGCCACGATTGAGGGTCTAGTAGAAAACGTGGGTAAGAGCGCAGTAACGTGAACAAGAGCACAGTAAGAAATTCACAGAATCGCGCGTCACAGCGAATCAGCCAAGGCTAGCGCGTTAAGACAAACGACCCACCATACCAAGTCCTTAGAATGTTCACCTGGCATCGATTAAAAACATCCTTTCATTCCAAGACAAATGTTTGCTCGAACGAATTTGCCTTCTGTTCCACTCAGGCCAAAACAGTGGAAGAGCATCTTGGGAAACAACATGAGCATTCCAATACACCAAAGTCTTCAAGCGCAAGGAACAGGACCAAACAAAAGGATGGAGGACAAAGTGACAAGCGGCACAGTCAAAGCCTACACAAAAGTTGGCCAAAATGAAAACAATTCAAGTCTACGAAGGACGTCGCATTTCAACAAGAACGCATGGACGTCATCTCTCTGGTGCCGAGCCCTGGGCCGTGGAAGGCGAAGGAAGTCCCAAACTGCTCCTTGAGCTTGTTGAAGCGAGCCTCCTACGCTGCGGCCCCCTTGCAACGGCTAGGCTTCTTCGCGCATTTTGGAAGCTTGCATTGTCATGGCGAACATGACCATCACAACTACGCAGAAGTCTCCTTGTCAGGCGGCGCGGACACCAGTAAGTACTGGAATTGTGTCCTGGGCCAACGGTGGGCCCCCAAAACCGCCAAAGGCTGGGATTTGACTTCAACCACTCTTGCAATCTGTGGCTCCTGAAGGCTTGGACGAGCTGATGCTCCTGGTGCCGCAAGGAAACACACCCTGCCCGACCCCCGAACCGCGCAAACCCCGCTCGCCCGGCGCAAAAAGCCCGGCGCAGAAAGAGCCCGGCGCAAAGAGCCCGGCGCAAAGAGCCCCTTGGGCGGTCCTGCAAGGGGGCCAAGTAGCAGCGGTTGGAGCACACGGTCCACTTCAGCAGGGCCGCGGCCTCTTGGGTCATTTGGCCGGTGCACAGGGCCCAGGACGCCCCCAGGTGCCCAGCGCCCCAGGCCCGGATCTTCTGGAGCTCATCGACGCAGGTCTCCAGCTTGGCGAAGTCCTAGGGCTCTCACACAAACCGCCTTTTTCCCCCCCCAAAAAAAAAAGAGAGAGGTTGGAGGTTGTGGCATCCTGGTCTTTCCACAGGGCCTAACTGTGCCTGGTTGCATTTCTTCGCAACCAGGGGGTCCTTGCAGTCGGGCGAGAGCACCGGGAGGCGGGCCACGTGCACCGCGGGGAAGGGATCCAGAATCAGCTCGCGCCTGGGAGACTTCGCCGCGGCCGCCAGCATGCAGAACAGGAGGTCCATGATCTCCGAGCGGTGGTTCACCGACTCCGCCGTCGTGATCTTGCTGCCGAACTCCACGAACTGGTAGGTGCAAAGCTCGTCGGAGCAAACGGAGCGCATCATCATTGGTGCCACTTGAAAGGGCTTGTCGCAGATGGCGCAAAACTCATGCACAGTAGGGACTCGCAGCTGCAGGTACCGTGCCAAGCATGTCAGGAATCCAGCTCTTTCGGCCTCCATGGCCTCCAAAATCAACCGCTTCTTCTTAGCCTCGTACCAGACAGCACAGTTGCAATCGTCCAACTCCGTCTCCTCCACGTCTTTGACGTCCCACGTGTCAGCAGTTCCGTCCGCAAAAAATTGGCAGAACTCTGCGAGGATGTGAAGCAGCTGCGTCTCCAGCGCAAAGCTGCCCTCCTGCCAGATCCTCTTCAGCATGGACCGCTTGACCTGCGAACACCCGAAGGGCAAGTGGAGGTCCACGGAGATTGGCCGGGAGGTGTCGACGCCCCACGCAGCACACGCCGTGCTGCTGAGACCGATGATTGGAACGGACAAGCGAACGCGCCACATATCGGCCAGCTGGGTCAGCGCCACTGCTTCTTCACCAAGAGCGCTCTTGGCGGAAAGCACTTCCTTCTGCAAGGCTTGCTCGGGAGATGCGTCGGCAATCAACTCCATGTCGCACGCGTGCGGCCGCGCCAGCTCCTCGGTCACACGGCGAATGATCTCGGAGACGGTGCCTGCGGACTCCAGCTCAAACTCCTCGGGGCCGTAGACTTGTGTCTCGCCCAGAGGGTACGGATTGCCGACCACAGCGGTGAAGGCGCCGTCCAAACCTCGCACGCAGAAGGCGAAGGTGTCATCCTCGGAGTCCAGGGACGTGAGCTGCGGGAACTTCCCCTCGTGCAGCTCCGCCTCCGCCGCTCGGAGGTCCCGCGCAATCCGCTCCGAGCGGCTCATGGCATGGAGCTCGCCCTCGAGCAAAACACAGCGCAAGAAAAACACGCAAAGATGATTTCAGATAAAAGATGCAAAAATGCAACCAACGGAGATGATTGCAAAGTACTGGCAATCTGCTCCCGGCAACGTGCAGAACAACCAGTGTCTTTCCAGCTTCTGTCTCTCTCTCTCTCCCTCTCTCCCTCTCGCCCTCTCGCCGCTCACTCTCCAGCCTGCCAAAATTCATCACCTGTCAGCCATCAACTCATCAACTTGCAGATGCAACACACCTTCAGCGCTGTGGCTATGTACATCATTTGAGCGAGGCAAGTCGGCATATTGTGAGGAGTGAAACTCAGATGCTGACCCCAAGCTGACTGGCCATCTCCTTTCGCAATCAAGCGCTTGCAACTTCTTCTCTCTTAGCGGTCCCAGCTCAAGATGCAATGCACTCCTCCACATGTCGGGGAATGTCACTTCCGTATGTGTCACAAAGAGCTCGCTGAACCTGCGGCTAAAAAATTCGCAAGTGTCCATGAGTTCACGCGCGCGCCCCTGCGCGCCTGTTCAGCAAAGCTGGCCGACAACGATTCACCCTTGGTCACGTCAGGCGCAAGAGCAACTGAGTCGATGCCAACGGCCGGAGTCTAAGACGAGCACCTTGGGCATCTCTTTGGCATCGTGCAGCTACAATGCTAGCCCGAAATCTTGCGTCGATCACATTCAAACCCTTGGGGGGGGGGGGGGGGGTGAGGTCATGTTTAAAGGGAAACAAAGAGGAAACCCAGCCAACATGGGGGCTCCCCAAAAACTGACACACCCAATCGCATCTCTTCTCAACTGAGCACGGCCGTGCAATAACAAGGCAAAACATTGTGACATGATGCAGTGGTGCTAAAGGAGCTCAAGTGAGCATCCATCCTTCCTTGAGGCAATATTCCTAAAACACACTTCCAGCAAAACGCCGCAGCTTTGTTGGACAAATTGGACGGCAACACACCCTTTCTCTTCCTCACCCAATAACTCAAAGGACAACCTGCGTTCATGCCTGGCGAATGAGCGTTCAGCCGTTTTCCCTCTCCATCAGCACTCTGCGAGGATTGAGAGTCGTCGGATTCGTCCTCACAGCTGTTCCGTCTTATGTGCTCTACAGTAACTTCCCTTGGCACCTGTGAGTCAGTCGAACTCGAAATTCAAATTGTAAATTCAGATATCAAATGAGCCTTTCAATATTGAGCTGCAAAAAAACAATTTACCTCCAAGTGCTCTGATGGTTGTGCCCTTCAAAAGAGAACACCTTCCCGAGCTTCATGCCATGACCTCTGCTAACGAGCGGTTCTAAAGGTGCAAGCATATCCCCAGTGGCGAGCTCGAGAATTGGTGCGGCGGACGCTGATTCGACACATGGCCATGGGTCAACAGTGAACATTCCAATCCCCACTAAAATCCCGACTAAAATGGGTTGTGCACCTATCCCAAAATGGAATCATTGGCTTTGGCCCACGGCCACATCAAACCACGGCTTGACAGCCTATGACACCCAAAAACTGCATAATATGTCGATGTGCTTTCCCTGCTGGCAAAGTGCCCTTTTTTGGCGAGTCGGAGTTACCGGCAAGGGTTCGGCACACGGGCCTTCTCCATGCGAGTTTCAATGCCCAGCTCAACTGGCTTCGCTCGGTTCGTGCAGCTTGCAAACCAAACGTTGCAGGGAAAAGTGCATCCTCCATCTGCCAAATGGCGGTAGACTGTCCTCATACTCTTCCTCGCTGTAGGCTGCATGGTCGTCCTTTTGCTCGTCCTCTCACAAGATCGAAATGAACGGGACTGAGGGCAGACTGAAATGGCATAGTCCCATTGCCATCGTGTCAGCATACAATTGCGATCCGCGCTCCAAGGGAAGGGAGAGTCAAACCTGCAAGAGCGCTGTCCTGCTCCGATCTGTCCTCGGAGGTCTCGCCTGCGTGTGACTCGGGCAAATGCATCCATTGATGGCCGACTGGCCATCTCTAGGCCGCGCCTTCCAGAGCCGTAGCCAGAGACCACAGGTCGCACTTCGGGCCTGCGCCGCCTCCTTCCGAGAAAGAAGCGGACTCCGAGCCCTCCACTCGAGCCGCGCCGAGCTCCGGACGCCAGCGGAACGCGGCACTGGCGCGGCCGGGGAAGTCCCCTGCCGCGCGGCGGAAGAGCTTGGCCTGGAACAGGTCGGTTTCGATCGACTCGAAGTTCGGCTTTCGGCGTTCGGCTTTCGGCTTTCGGCGTTCGCCTCTTCGTGCACATGCAGGAGCAAGTGCCACACCTGGCTCAACTTGCTGCATCACTCTCAGTCCATCGGCTCGGCACGCGAGGCTTGGTGCGCGCGGAGGGCACGTAGGCGGCGCCTGAAGCGACCGAAAGTCGCTTTTTGGCTCTGAGCGCAGGCATCTGGCTCCGGCCTGCGCATGCCAGACTCGCTGGAAGCCCAGGCCGCAGCATCTCGGCAGAAAGCAGCCTCACAGTCCGCTCCTAAGGCCTCAAGAGCCTCAAGAGCCAAGGCGCAACCGAACCAGCCTTGGCTCACTGCAACGCGGCCAGAAGGAGAAGGCAGCATCCACCTGGGGGGAAGTAACCAAAATAGAATCTCAATTCGTTCCGTTAGTGCCTGAAGCCAAGCGAACCCTGGCCTCCTCTCTGGAGACCTCTTGGCCCGAAGGGAGCAGGTATGCCCCGCCGACATCCTGGAAAGCACATTGTGACAAACAAATCCCTTTGACTCTGAACTACCCTGCGTGAGTTGTCTCCCCCACCCCTCTGAGCTCCACCAAGCTCTTACTTGAGCTGCTAGCACAAACATGCAATGTGTGGGGGAAAACCAAACAAAACACAGAAAACGTGTTGCAACAAGCGGAAACAATCCCCAGAACTCATCTTCAAAACTCCCTACTGTGGCTTAAGCCATTCTAATAGCACCACCCACAACTGACCATACTGTGAACCCAGACAAAACAGATCCAGCGGACAACAACTTTAGGTTACTCATGTTCACAAATAATCGAAAATGAGTGCGTTTTTGCCTTTACATATACTCAACTTGTGAAGCGCATGCCAAAGTTCATGACAGGCACTCTGCCCAAAACTCCAAAACACGGGTATGCCAATCAACGTGCCATGGAAAGCCCGGGACTTCGGGCGCCACAAGAAGCCTGGCATCCAGGTCGCCGAGCTCCGGCGGAAACTTGTGATGCGCACGGGGGCTGTGAGGTGCCAAGGACAGCTCCGCGCTGGCGACGTCTACGACTGGGTGTTCGCTCGGGACAGCTTTGGTCAAGCTTGATGCGCTGACGTGGACTTCCAGCAATTCTTTGACAAGCTCCAACAGCGGCAAGGTCAAACGCTCCACTGCCAGCGACGCTTATGCCAGCTCCAGGGAACAGATCATCCACTTGAGGAGTCAGAGAGGTTTGACGGAGTGAGAGCTTTGTAAGGTTTGGTTGGAGCGTCAGACTTTGCTCGGAGTTGCCGTGCATTTGTGAAGATAAGAGAAAGGCAGGCGCCCTCGCGGACAACTCTAAGACTCTAGAGTTCGACTCGGCCGATCTGTAAGCCATATAGGGCCATAGGAATGAATATCAGGTCTGAGAATGTTTCCGCTTGCTGCACTAGATGTTGTATGCCGTTTAAATTGAGCCTGTCCGCTCTGTCCCGCGCCTGGGCTGGCAGCATCACGTGGCTCTGCGGCCGCGGCTGCAACTGGAAGGCCACTGCCGCCAGAGGTGCCGTGGCCAGCACCTCGGCTCGCTCGACGGAATGCCCACCGAACGCGCCAACCATGCGTTCGCCTCGAGCAAGGAGAGAACGTCTCCGGCATCGCCTCCAAACCCGCTCCAAACCCACAGTCCAAAGGATTGAAACCGTTGAAACGACGTGAAACGACGTGAAACGACGTGAAACGACGTGAAACCGATAAGAGAAAGTGAGAAAAACTGAGTCCGCGTCCTGCCGGGTCCCCGAGGCACACCGCGACCACCAGCCCCACGTCCGGCAGCAGCTCCTCGGCGCGCGCGAGGCGCGACGCGTGGAATCCTCGGCCCCACCTCGCCCGCGCCGACCAGCACGGCCAGCGGCTCGGCCACCACGTCCCACGCCTCAGCTGACTGGAAGCGCAACCAGCCAGTTCCAAGCACCAGGGCCCAGACAGCTCGATGCATCGACGAAGCAGGCAGCAGAGCCAATACATGGATGCTTGGCACCTCCTGGCGGAGTCCAAGAGGCAAATGGCTCAAGCGTTGACAAATTTTGTTCTCCTTCCTCGCCAAATGATTTCCAAACTACCCCCTTGCAACTTAAAACCCTGGAAATCATACGACCCATTGCCCTGTAGTTTTTATTAATTTGCCTCGGCCCGGGCCCAGGAAACGGTCAGATCCATCCTGAGAATATCCGACCCACGTGGCTCTGGCTACATCGAACATTGCAGTCCTGCTGAGAACAAGGGTTCCTTCAGCTTTGAAACACATTCCCATCTCAGGCGATGGAAACCAATATTCGATTGATGCAATTTACATTTCATGCCTGCTTGCTGGACCCTAGGCTTGCTGGTTTTATTTTGCATGTTTAATGTTTATGGTTTGGCTGCCCTGAGTTTCTTTTTTCCTAGGTTCTGTGAGCTAAAGCGCCGTCCAAATCACATGTTTTACACCAGCACCCCATCACTTTGAACACCTCCATACTCAGAGCAGCTCAGAGCCATTCAAAGCCACTCAGAGCCACTCAAAACCAAAAGAAGCACGACGCCCACTCAAGGCCACTCAAGGCCTCAATGAGTGGCACTGAGCGGCTCTGAGTGGCCCCGAGTGGCTTGAGTGGCACCGGGTGGCCTTGGTTGTTGTAGAGTTGGTTTGGTGGGGCTGCGGGTGCTCCAGGGTGGACTTAGGGTGGGTTTCGGGTTGGGGTTGATTTGGTTTAGGGTTTGCTTACATTTGCGTTGGGGGGTTTTGCGTTGGTTTAGGGTGGCCTTGAAGCTTTTGGGTGGGTTTCAGGCGGGTTAAGTTGAAGTTTAGGCCTGGTCTAGCACAAGAAGGGAGCTGGAACGAACGAAGAGAACGGAACTGGAATGGGAATGAGAATGAAAGAAACTCGAATGGGAATGGGAACGGGAAAGGAACAAATAATCGCGGACATCGGACTGGAAACGAACGGGAAGGACAGACGTCTCTGGGGTGCTGCGCGGCTATTGTTAAGAAGCGATTTCAGCTCTTCTTGGCCTGACGGCGTGCGTGCGTGTGTAAGCGCGTCAAGTGGCTGGTAGTTTTCATGTTAGCTTTGACCCTGCCTCGCCCGCTTCTAATATATAACTTTGTAAAGTCAAAACGGGGCGCAGGATCCTCGCACGAGGACCTGTGGAGGAGCGGAGAACGACCCGAGCGGACCCGAGAACGACCCGAATTGTTTAAGATGAGCTTTTGTGTGTGCTCCACAAGCAGCAGCATCAGGGTCAAAAAAAGGCTGACAAAACTACAAGGGACACTGCGCTATTGACATGGCCCCGCAGTTGTCATGGTCTTGTAGTATCTTACAACTGTGGCAAAAGAGATTGACAGTAGCGATGAAAGCATTGCTGTTCATCAATGCTGCTGGCTACTGTAGTATGTACCAAGTCGCCTACATTCAGGCTCAGCAGTCAAACTGGGTGGCGAGGTTGGTGTGGATCAAAAAATGGTGTAGCATCCGAAGAACTGGATGCTCTCAGCTTTGGCTGGATGGATTGGCCCCAAACTGATGGGAATAGAATCAATGCTATTGATGCGAATGGGGTGACATTTGCGCTTGACAATGACATCTGTTCCAGTCCCACCACCGCAAAGGGATCATTGGATGGTCCGGCAATGGGAAAGTGTGCTCAGAAATGGTACGGTCACACGAACGCCCTTTTTCTGGTCACCTTCACATTTGTTGCGAGATGCAGCCATATTTGAGAATGAGACGCCAAGCAAAGGCAACAACTCTTCATCCTAACAAAATCATTCGGGCCAGTGAAGGCATTGTAGCAAGCGTGGGCATTCACCATCGAAACGGCGCGCAACGAAGGCACGAACCTCATCCGATTGATCCGGGCAAACTAGAGCAACTAGACAACGCACCATCTGGTATAAACAAAACAATCGACATCAATCGGCTTCCGGAGAGAAACGTGTGACGTCCCTGGCCTGCTGCTGCCGTTGCCGGAGGAACTCCAGGCTCTCTGAGTCAGACAAGTCCAGCACGCAGAAGGCGTCGGGTCCTGAGCCCCACGCGGGCTTGTTCCGGGCCCGAATGACAGACGCAAAGTCCTGGGTCTGCCTCGGGCTGAAACCAAAGATCCCCAAGTCGATCCTGCAAGCAACGATCAAATATCGAAGTGTTTGACAAAATTCGGCGAGAGTTGGAGAGTTGCCTCCGCTAGCTTGCCAAGTGCTCTGCCTCATGCGCGATTCGAGTTGGCGCTTCTTGCATGCATCTCGCCATGCTCGGGCGTCAGCTGGCACGTCCAATGCAGTGGAGCGCCCTTGGATTGGGTGGGCGTCCATCGTGTCTGGCAGGGCAAGCCGGGCAAGCCGCGTCTCAATTGATCTGAAAAGTACATGGCCCAAGCCTTGGCTTCACGGTCAGGCTTTGCACCTCTCAGCCAGAGATCAACGTCTGCGAAATGGACTGTACCAGTCCGGGGGGGTGCCCCTTCAAGTAAGGAAATGATCTAGTTTGGGGGGTTCTTCAACGCTGCAAAAATGACATGGCTTGAGGAATTCGCCTGAAACCTGATCTCGCACTCTAAAATGATGATGCACTTTGCTCGACATACTCAGTGGGTCCCTTGACTGCTGGTTTTGGGCGGGACATAACTTGCGTCCGGTCGGATTGGTTCGGTCTTGGAACCTGAAACTTGAGATGAATTCCAAGATGAGCGTTAATGATGGAATTTCCTGCTAAAACCCTTCCTTGTACCACTGCGAACCAAAATTCATCATTGTGACAGGGAAGCCAACCTCTGTTCAACGGGAAGGCCTCGGAAGACTGCAGCAAGTCCACCGATGCCTCCAACGCCTGAGTGGCTTCGCAATCAAACGTTGCGCAAAGCTGTTCATCTTTGATGGATCGAGTGATTTGTGCATATCCTTCTGAAATGCTCTAGCCTTTCAAGCCAAATCTGTCACGGGCCCATCCTCCTCGCGCCTCCCGCACGTCGGCTTCCAAAATCCCGGCACCAATCAAGCCATGCACATAGGGGCGGGAGGCACGGTATGCGCTTAAAGCATCCTGCAGACGGATGCAATTGAAATGCCCGGGGCACCCCAAAAACCTGCCATGCATTCAATTGAAAGCATCGCACTCCTCCAGCAAAGTCGTAGCACGCTCTGCAGCACCAGCAGTGGACCAAATACGCTGCGCCTGCGTTGAGCAACGCGCGGCCTCGCCAGCTTCGAGCTCAGCCAGGACGTGGCACAACTCCCGTGCAATCTCGTCGCATCCTGCCCAGTCTTCTGCTGTGACCAGCACCACAGGGCCTAGATAAGTCGGAGGGATGCATACTGCGAGCTCTGCACAACTTCTGTCTGCGGAACACAGAGAAAACAAAATGGCTCTTAACTCATCCAAACAACGGAAGGTGCCCCTTCCCTCCAAACCCAACTGCGATTGGAAGGGTTGCTTTTCGCCTTTGCCGGCCGCGCCACACTGCAGCTGCGCCAGCACGGCCGCGAGGAGAAAGGCCTCGGCGCCTCCGTGGGGCACGCGAAGCAGCGCCGCCGCGCACGGCTGCGCCGCCAGCAGCTGACTCTCCAGGGACGCCTCGTGCGTAGCGGCAACAGTTTCGAGGCGAATCAGCAGTCCTTAGCATAGGCGTCCTTTCAGGAGAAATAGATGGCCCTGGTAGATGATTGAACCACCAGGTAAACTAGGGCCATCTATTTTTCTACCAAAACAACCAAAAAGAACACCTATAGTCGTTCGCCCTTTTGCTTGCAAAAGCCACCGAGATCTGGCCTCCACAGCCAGCACCAGCCTGGCCTGGCCATTGACCCACCGCGCCACCGCTTCCAGGGAGCCTGCCCCAAAGCCTCGGGCTCGGCAAGCCATGCGAGGCGTGCGATGCCCATGTGCAAATGGCTTGCGATGCTTGGCCAGTGGCCCTTCACTCCTTGCTGCTGAAGCTCCAGCGCAAACTTCGCAGGACTGGCTCTCAAGCCAGGACACTCGAAGCTCGGGACTCAGCTGAAGCAGCGCAGTGGCCTGCCGCTGACTTCTTTGACTCGACGCAAAAGACGCTTTGGACGCCTTGGAGGACGCCTGCGCGCGAGGCTTCAGCTCTTTACCATGGACGTCGAGGATCGGCACCTTCGTACTGTTCGCTGTCAAGGGCATAACTTCGCACGGAGCTGGCATCACCGTTGAAATCCATCTACGTGCCAAAACAACCAAAACCAAACTCCATCTACCAAACTCGAACTAAACTAAACTGGCCTTCATACCAAACCCTAGCTAATAACCAAACTGCTGTGAGTGAATGCCGCAAATAACATGGCGGCAAGCCTGCTTTGCCACGCACTAAGAATCTTCTCTAGCTCTTGGCCAATAAAAGTTTTGCCATGGCACGTTTGCAGCGCTGGCCAAGCGTCTCAATTTCTCCACGATCTGATCGAAGAGCTGCGTTGGCACCGTCGTCGCCCAAGTGTCCTAGGGTGAAAGGCAAATCTGCGCGCAGCTTGATCTGGAGGCACAAGTTCGGGGATACGTACAAGGGCTTCCCCTGACTGACCCGACAAGCATGCCACCCTAGCACAGGTCTACACACTTTTTGCCCTGTCCTGGTCCAAGACCATAGCGCACGCGCGCTGGATGCGCAGCACTGAGATGGCTTTCGCAAAGCCGTTGACTCGCAGCTCAAGGTGACCATCTTTCAGGCTGAATGACACCTGGTCCTGCACATGTGCTTGGCACTTGAAAATTGCCTATCATGCGTAGCCCACATGGCGACAAGTTGCATCTTGGATCTCTCGCATCTTTGCTGATTCGTGTCTGTGTGTGAGGGGCATGATGTCACAACTCACTCACACAGAGACCTCACGGTGGAGCATAGCCCTGTTGCATGCCCCAGACATGCTACACGGCAATTCCAACGAAAGGCCTTGGAGTCACCAGACGTGAAGCTGACATCTCGGGCCACCAACTTCTTGAACATGGACCTGGCAAGGAATCCAGTGTTCATGACATTCACGACATTCGTGACATTCATGCTTGCGTCAAGCTGGTCTCGCTCAGGTCCATGCTACTTCTGGACCATCGTAATGTCGCTTGTGTTGCCATGCCGCAGCCCCTATGAATCAGCGCTTGGCACATGCTTGGCTGAAGTAAGATTCCAAAACGTAACTAACGCGGCATTCTGCGATTGGCTGCTCAGGCGCACCAATTGCAAACAAATGGTATCACGGGAAGGTTGTGCATAGCTTACCTCCCATTGAGCCAAAATGGGTGTGCAGCACGACCCTCAATCAAACGTCTTGCTTGCACTGACGTTGGGACCATGGAGCTTTAAAGAATAAACACCTTCGCTTTAGCCTTGTTTTGCCGTGCAGCGGCAAGCGCTTGAGAACAACAAGCAAGAGACCTCTGACCAGCATGAGCCTTCAGTTTGCCGGGGACTGGCTTCAAACCTAGCCCGACAGTGTAACGTGTAGTGAGTAGCTTCAGTGCTACGAATTGTTCGAATCGTACCTGCGAGAGTCTCTGCAAGTTTCTCCTCGCAAAATTTCCGCGCAAGTTTCTTTGCGCAAGTCTTGCGCGTAAGTTCTGAACGCTACTGGCCTCTGCGCAAGTTCGCTCTGCTCATTTCTCTGTGCAAGATCTCCATTCAAGCTTCTGCACGCAAATTCTCTGTGCGAGTATCATTGCCTGCAGCATTCACTCTCACATCTAACATCTTGCTCAAATCACTCCTTGATGATTCCCTGTAGAATGCATTTCTGTTCACTCATCTCGCATCTTCTCATGCTCAAATCACTTCTTGATCATTCCCTGCTTAACTCATCACTTTTCACTCTCTTACATCTCACATCTACCAGCTCAAATCACTCCTTGATCATTCCCTGCAGAATTCATGTTCACGCATCTTACATCTTCTCATGCTCAAATCACTTCTTGAGCATTCCCTGTGGAATTCATCATTTTTCACTCTCTCACATCTCACATTTTGCTCAAATCCCTCCTTGCTCGTTCGCTGCAGAATTCTTTGCTGCTCGCTCTCTCCCGCATCTCACACTCAAATCACTTGCACTCACTGTTAATCTAACACAGCTACACGCACGGAAAAAGCCCAAACCCTAAGAACTGTGATGTTGCGGGGTGTTGGACACTTCACCATTGCAAAGACCAAATGCATCTCAGTCTGTGCGGCGCATCTGCACGCCGTCAAGTATAGGCAAGTGCAAATCAGCAGGCAACAAAGCACGCGAGCCCTTAGAAAAGAGAAGCAAGTGATTATGTGGCTTGTAGACATGCCGTGGGCTTGGTCCTTCAATGCTTGCGTCTTGGTTTTAAAAAAATCCAGTGGTTCAACGTCCTGCACTCTGCTAAGGATGCTCTCTCCGGAACCATGTCAACAAAAGCGTCTCACATCAATGGCTCGCTCAGATGCTCGTGTTGCCCGGAAGTTTCCACAGTAGACGGTTGACGCGTCATGGCCACTTCGGAATCACAGGCAACATCAGAGGAAGACGCCCTGATTTACAAAACACCGTTCTCCATCTGGTGCGGCTGCGCCTCTTGGAGGTGTGGGTGTGTGCGTGTAACGTCGATTCGCAGCAAGTTGTGAGGCTCGACGATCGTCTTAAGTCTGGATGACGTGTTGCTGGAACTATGGAGGCAACCAGTGCTTGACATGCAACGATTTCAATGGGATGTCCAAGCCGCCCACAAGGCGCAAGCTCATCCCTACTGAGTCATACTGAAAAATATGAGATTGGTCTGACGGGGTGTGTCAAACAGAACGCAGTACACAACAACATGCAAATGGCAAGAACAAAGAAAGGTCATGTGCTGCTTGAATCGTTCGCACGCATACTATGAAACTTCAGAAGCTTTCCCAGCACACGCCATACCATTTGCACTTGCATTCCCGAAAAGATCGCACCAAAATCAAGGCGGATTGATTCCTGGAACACGCCTGTTGCCCTGCTCCCAAATTGACAAGCGCATGCCTCTCCAAGCGAAGCCCCTGTCTCTGGCACGAAGCACTTTTCGGCGAAGGGCGACGGGAACGTCCTCTTGGGAAAGAGCCAGTCCTCAATCACCACGAAGTCCAGGTCCGGCAGCTTGTCCAACATCTCCAGGCTCTCCCTCACGGTGTTCACGATGGGAAAGCCCTTGGTGTTGAAGGAGGTGTTGATCAACGCCGCGAGGCCCACCAGGCGCCCCACGGCCACCAGCAGCGCGTGGATCCAGGGCTCCTCCGAGGCGCTCACCGACTGATGCCGCGCCGTGCCGTCCAAATGCGCCAGCGCCGGGAAGCGCGCGCGGATCTCCTCCACCACACGGGGGGCCATCGTCATGTAGGGCGACGCCACCTCGCGCCCGAAGACCTAAGCAACACGCTTGAACTGGTGATGTCCTCCCTAGATTCGCGAGAAAAAAAGGAGCCGCAACCCCTCCCCATAACACCGCATTCTTTCGATCAAATACCTCTCTCTCACTGTGTTTTTCTATCAGCTTGTCCCTCCCACGTCGGGCCTTCGCCAGGTCCTCCTTTGCGATCATCGGCGCCACGGGCCGATACCACTGCCGCGCCTTGAGGCGGTTCATGCGCTCACGCATGGTGGCGTCCGGCACGGCCAGCAGGGACCGGTGCCCCAGGGCCCGGGGACCGAACTCCTGAAGAAGGAGTTTGACGAGAATCGCATTCGAAAGTTCGGCTGAAAGACGCTAAAACGACAAATGGCCGCCGGCGTTTGGCGCACCATTTGCTTTGCGTGGCCTGGCGGCCCCGCACCACGGCCACGATGGGTCGGCTGTGGTTGGCGTTGAGACGCTGCCAAGCCACGCCCCCTGCAAGCAACTCCGCCAGGAAGTCCACGCCGCCCAAGGCGCTGAGGCGCACGGCGCGGCGCGCAAAGGCCACGCGCTCGAGCCTCGCAAAAAGCGGAAGAAGCGCAAAAAACAGCAAAGCCAGGGGAGACCAAGCAACAAGCAAAATGTTGGAGACACGAAAAATGTGAATCGCTTAGGGAATTCGCAATGCCACGGCTGCTGGAGACATGATCTAAAGCGCGAGAACCATGCAACACCAAGCGTGTTTAAAGAACAAGGAAATTTGTTGGAAATGAAACATGTATAAATCAAACCGCTTTCGCACTCTGCTTGCACTCTTGGGGGCATGTCCTCGTCCCAGAGCCGGAAGCCTAGGTACTGCAACGGCTGCTGCTTCGGGGGCGGCGAAATGGTCCACAAGCCTCCAGCCGCCAGGCCGCAGTCGTTGGGCGCAGGCGGCACGTAGAGGCGTATGTCCTGACACTCGTGCATCAAAAGAATACGATAAACATCTAGACCTCGCACTCTCCTCCAAGTCGTGAATCTTCTGGTTGGCTAACACGTTCAGTGCGCAGCCTCCCGTGAGCACCAGGCCATCCACGTTTTCTGAGCCCACCTCTTTCCTTAGGCAACAGACGCCCAGTGGCGGTTTCGTGGCGTCTTTTGCCTGTGGGGGGGAGGGAAAGGCGGGGGAAGGCGGGGTGTTGGGTTGCCCTCAATCGGTTGAGTTTGGAGTGAAACTGCGTGAGCCTTTGGTGATAGCGTTGCTTTGGTGTCCCGGTCTTGCGCCGGCGGTGTTTTTTGGTGGGATTTTGGCGATGTCCCGGTGGAGTTCCGGTTATGTTGCCCTGTTGTTTTGGGTGGCGTCCCGGTGTCCCAGTGGTTTGTGCGCGGCGTTTTGGTGGTGGTGTTTCAGTGGTGTGGGGCTTGGCAGAGTTTGGGCGGCGTCCCGGTGTCTGGTTGCATATCAAGGTGTATCGTAAGAGGTTGACTTTGGGTAAGTGATTGTCCAAGGTGCTTGACAAAGCAAACAAAAAAAGTAACCAAACCCACACAGGCCGCGAAAGTGGAAATCCGCTGCACCAAAAGCTATGACTCGGTATGACTGGAAACGGAGAAGAGAAAGCTCAACCCCCCCCCCCCCTTCGCGGTTTCGCGGTTTCGCAACTTCGGGGCTCAATCCATTTCAGAAAGCTTCTGCTTTTTGAGCTAGCATCAACAGCGCCAGGATGACATCTCGAGCCACCTCCTCAAAACCCACCTGAATTGACGCTGCCAGAGTCTGCTGGTCTTCGGTGGAGTTACATGCACTTCGCAGCAACGCGAAGGGAACACGAGCATCTGCGGAGAAAAAGCTCCCTGAATGCTTGAAGAGTTCCTTCACGACTTCATTCAGCTTGGGGTTTGACTCCTTGATGCCGGAATAGCCCATGAGCTTGCCAGAAAGAGAGAGAATTGCGCGCTTCTCACCTAGCATAAACTTGGACCAGTGCATCCCTTTGCGATTCTGGCGGCACTGCTCGGTGATAGCCTTGCCCGACACCTCAGGCAAAAGCTCAGCCAGGTGCATGTACATATCCCCAAAGTTGTACTGCAGAGTCCCAATGTGCTCAATTTGACCTGGGCAAGGAGCAAGCATTCCACGCAGGGCTCTACATACATATAAAATGTTTAAACCGGCATGGACATGGGCTGGGGTTCGATATGGCCATGGGTCAAAACCCCGTACTCCCAGTGAACATCCCAATCCCCACTAAAGTAGACTCAGCACCTACCCCAAAATGGTGCCATTGGTGTTGACCCACGGCCAGATCAACAAAGCAGAACGTGCTACCAGGAACCAGCCCTTGCCACAAAGGCGTTGAAGGATCCATCATTGCCCCCGCCATCATAAGACACCACCAAGGCAGAACGGAAGGGCGAGGCATAAAATCCCAGGGCCGCGTGGGCCTTGTGATGATCCACGAACTCCCACTGGTCCACTTCTATGACCTTCCTGGGCCGCAAAACGTACAGCTTTCCTCCCGAAAACAATTTGAATGCTGAGTGTCGAGTCCCGGATCAGCGAAGGGATGTACTCCCAGAACGGCGCGTCTATACCCAGCACGATGACCCCAATCGCGAATCGCCTGGCGCATGATCCGACAATCCAAAGGCCGAAAGGGTGTCAAACCGTTCAAACCTCGAAAAGAAGGCATGTGCCGCGTGTGCCGCATGTGCCGCGTGTGCCGCGTGTGCAGGGTGTGCCGCGTGTGCCACGTGTACAGGGTGTGCCGGGTGTGCCGGCCTGGGGGTGTCACAACGCTGCCTCAAGACGGTCAAGGAGCCCGCGAGCACTTGGCCGAATCGCTGGAAGTTTCTTGGGAAGCGGAAGTAGCGCTCCCGGAAGAGGCGCTCCAACTCCAAGACGCACGAGATGCGACCGCCGGAGCTCACAGCAATGCTGGCGTCGTGGCCCACGAAGAACCCGACGCCATCCACGCGCCTTGGAACCTGCACCTCGCCTTGCAGAACGAAACCAAGGCCGCCGTGTGCTAGGAGTTGCAGCACCCGCCACATGGCAGTGAAGCATCCCAAAGCACTAGTAAAGAAGATCAAGCGATTCTTCTAGGGCATGTCCACTTCCTGCTACCGTCAATGCATGGAAATATCCAAATTCTCAGTTGCTTGGCTTTGTCAAGAGATAAGTCTTTCATTGGCAGTTCAATAGGCTGCCTTCAACGGGTGCTATCAGCTGACTCACTGTCGCTGTTCTCAATACTCATTTGATCCGAGTGTCATGATTGTTCAAGTCAGGCATACCAACGCTTGTGCTTGAGCGCATGGTTTGAGGCCATTCGCCAAGCCAAAGATAAACTCCATTGCAGGCACAAAGCTTTCATTCAGCACTCAACACCATTTTGTCGTCAAAGCGGACAGTCTGGCCAAGACAGAGAGCCCTGAAGCATTGCAAAGCAAGTAGCTGCGTCATTGGCAACTCTGCAAAGAATATCTTCAGAGATGGCTGTTCAGACGAGGCTCCCAGGAATGCACGAGGCATAGAGCAAAACCGTGTCAGTTGCCCGAGGGCGTAGCGAAGCCGCAAGGTGGGATGGTGAAGGGCATGGCGTTCCCATTCTCCGGATGCTGCCAAACTGGACTCAAAGTGATCCGCAAAAAACGCGGGGCTGCTTCCCAACACCAAGATAGCGAGCTGGACCGCAAAAACCGCCAATCACAAACTGGAACGTTTCGTCTCCGATGCCCGTTTGGACTGTGAGTCACTTGCCGTTGCCCCGAGGCTTTAGCACCAATGAAAAGTTGGGGTCGCGAGGGCGTTGCCATGTTCAGGTTCCTGAGGGCGCGTCCTCTTCCCGGAGCTTCATGTCAATATAACTGGTCTGCACCCCAACTCCAAGCCTAAAGACATGCTCCTGTGGTCTAGCAGGGTCCGATTGCCTTCTGGTCTCTGCGGGACGTGCAACACCAACCCGGAGCAGCAGCCAATGCCCCTCAACACCCCCACGAAAGTGCAAATCTGGAGGTCCAATCTCAATAGAAGGAACTTTGCCACGAGTCCACTTACAACGTAGAAAAGAGTGTTGACCCAGAATCACGCGAGGGATGTCAAATTCGGCCACTTGGATTCTACACGTGTCATCCTGTAAGGAACAGCCTGCGAAAATACGGGATCTGCTTTTTGTTTCGTCATTGCTGGAAAACAAATTTGTGTGTTTATGATTCAAGCCCTAGATATAAATTAAGGCGTCAACAAACAAGGTTTGGGAGAACGGAAGATAGATGCTGCCACCCCCTGCAGCCAAGCCCGGCGCCCTCAGAATGAACGAGGCTAACAAGGATCGGGATGTCGCCATCCAGTTCCTCACAACTAGGCAATGGCCCAAATCGCAGCGTGCAATTCCCCTGATGAAGTGGCATGGCTTGGGTTTTGGATCCTCACCTAAGCCAAGTGGCATATGAGTGGAGTGTTTGGCGCTGGGTTTGTCTTCGAGCAAAAGTGTTTTACGTAAATGCCTCCGTGATGAGGCCCTGCCCCTCAAGGATCTGCCTCCGTCGATCGCCTTGTGCAAACATGCTGGTGGCAGTGCTTTGCTCAAGAAGGGTAGCGTTCCATGCGTCTGGATTTCGCCACGCCCAAGTTCCAGGGCGGCTCTGCATGTTTCTTTGGTGCTTTGACTCATTCCCTGCCAGGCCAAGTGGCTTGAAGTCGCGCCCAGGATCCTCGAAGGAAAGCTGCTCGCCTTGCTCAGTCAAAATGACGCTCGGAGAAGCATTGCTAAAACAAAAAGAAGAAAGAGGGCAGGTGAAGGCAAAAGGCGAAGTTCTTCAGTTTAGCATTGCGGCTGCATCATATTGCAGCCAAAAAAAAACGAAACGTTGTTCAGTTGATAATGAGACTAGGCTAGATGCATAGTGTTCAGCATCGCAAAACCCTGCAGCACTGCTTCAATATGAATCGTTGATTGAATGCAGCTGCTGCTGCTGCTGCTGCTGCTGCTGCTTCAATATGAATTCACAATCCAAGACTCCCTACATTGCAACCTTCAACACCGGCTTGAGGAAATCACACATAAACTCCACTGCAAGTTTGACAATGCCTTGGGTGAGACTATGCCCTCGCAGCCCAAAGGCCCCTCCCACACCCGGCCACTCAGCTCCATAGGCGCCGGCACACATCACACAGGCTCGTGCCCAAGAGCCCAGGTCGCCGTTTCTCTTCACCCTCCTAGGAAAACCCCCTTTCCTTCTCGAGGTGTCAAAAAAGAGTTTTCCCCGTAAACTATTGCTCAACATGCTGGCACAGAATGGCAACACGCGGTCAAGCTTTCTCTTATGTTGATGGCGCGGGAAGCCTCACAGATTCAGCGCACGCAGGCAACTGAATCACTGCCAGCATGTACGCTGTTACCGCTACTCGGATCTTGGTCGGCCTCCCGAGATGACTCACCAATACGAGTTGCATGGGACAAAGTCCATGAGGCTTGAGGACAAATTCCATGGGCCATGGAAACTCACGCAGCGCAGACTCACGCCCAACTTCCGGGCCATCGGGCACGCGGCATGCTCAAAGCGAGTGGAATGCAGCTGGCCCCTGCTCAAACGGAAGGCGTGGATCACAGCCCCAAAATCTGCATTCGGGCAAGTCAAGGCAGAGGGCAAACCAAGATGATCGATGAAGCGCGAACAATTCTGAGCGAGCTTCACCCTGGCGGCGCAATCGCAAACCCCCCTTCGGCCACGCCAGCAGCGGTGACAGAGCCAAGAGGTGTGCACAGTTTGTTTATGCGACCCGGAAGCAGGTTCCGCCTGTGCGCGGCACTCAGCCCAAGCAACAAAAGCATACCTAGGCCAAAGTCACGCCGCAGGAGAACAAGCGGCACGCTTTTGAGAATTCCACCTGAGGCAACAACAAAAAGAGAAAGTAGGGCCGACAAGATTCTCAGACTTGGACGTGGCTCACAATTAAAAAGCGATTTGAGAGACAAGTTGTTTGCTTCATCCTGAAAAGTGACTGAAGGTTCTGGTCTCCTCTCTTCGCTATCTGTTCGCCCACCTCCATCTGGACCCCAGGAGGTCTAAGCGGTCCAATCGCAACCCCGGATTCTAAACCCTGGTTGCTTGACAGGCAAGTGACCCGGGCTCGCTGTTCTTACAGGTTCCCATTTTAAGTCAGACCCATACATGTACTCAGGCATGCACCCTAGGAAAGAGCAAATCAGCTGCGAAGACGAGTGCGGCGGGCATGACAAAACGGAGACAGCGGCAGCGGTCTTAGAGGAGCCACTGAAACTGCTCAATGACGGCCCGGGATTCCTAACTGTCTCAGCTCAATGGGTCAAAATGGGGCTTGTCAAACTTAGAGGTCAATGCAGAAACCCACCAAGCCCGGCCAAGCCCTCAAAAGCTAAGACGCTACCCCCCATGGCTGGGAGCCACCAAGTCCGAGGCCCCAGCTCGTCAGCTTCCGAAGGCCCGGCCTCCGCGACCTGCGCTCAGGTCCCTGTGAGGCCAAGCAAACTCCATTTGGGTCTGTTCTCTTTGTGAAGGTATGCCTTTTCTGTGGTTTTGAAGGGAAACCAAACCACCACTTTTTGGGGGGGTCCGTTTTTTGGATGCCATAAATCTGTTGGGGTGGTTTAAAAGGAAACCAAAAAGCAAAACCATGTTAAGGCACACCCACTTATGGCCTTTGGAACCCCCTTTGTAGCCAAAGGAAACTCACCTGATGCTTAGAAGCCCATTGCGAGGGGGAACTGTGGCACGCCCCGGTTTCGGATTGGCCTCAATTGCCTTTGCCCGGATCGCAAAGCATCTGATTGATTCTGGTCCATATTGTAGAACCTTTCAATGCAACATAATTTCAAGACACATCCCACAGATCCCAGTCTCACTTCCGTGGAATGGCCAAAAAGAGTCCTTTTGTTGTTGGGTTCCCAAAATGTATCAGGTCTAAGAACTCTGAGGAGAGAAACCAACCAGAACAACCGCGAAATCAAAGACAAGTCCTTTCGCGAGGCCTGCAGGAAGTAGCGTACCGCCGCCACCGCGTGAGGCACCAGGTTTGCCTCCGGGGCTTTTGGCTAGGTGGTGAAATCATTTAGATGGTATCCCCAATGGGGGGATTACCAAGGCCGTGGGGGGAGCGTCTCCCAAAAGGTGTCGATCACCAAACCGCCCGTACGAACTTCAATTGGGGACCTTCATTTGGATGTACCAACCACTTTTGAGGAGTTCCAAGGCAAAATCATGACCATGTCTCAATGAAAATGCAGAACCCCCCTCCCAACTTGGGTTTACAGAGAAACCAAAGCGTGACACAACATGATCTTCTAGGACCCCCTAGTTGGGGTTCACAAAACAAAATTGCGAGTACATTTGTTCGTATTGTTTAGGCCCTTAGTTCCCAACCGCTGACCTTTCTGTGATTGCAAAGTTCGCATTCTAATTCTTTCGGCCATCATATTACCAACCTCCAAAAATGAAGAGGGGGTTCTTGATCAGGGTCCATGCTTGACAATAGGAGTGCGACTCCAAGACGTTTTGCTCAGTGTTTGGTGTGGGTGGACACTTGAGGATCTACGATGGGAAGTCCCTTGCCTGGAGGGGTGGGCTGGAATCCGTGCAGCCCAAACGGCAAAAAAAAACAGACTTTCGTTTTTGTAGCCCCCAAAAAAGGAACAGAGCCGAAAAATCAAACAAACTTTCCAACGTGCCATGGACACTTCGAAAACTCCTGAAACTGCAAGTCAAGGATCAAGGACATCCCTGCAGTCGTTGGAGAACAAAGCCAAGAGCAAAAACAGGGTGAGATCTCACGCTTGCACAGGAATCAAAGAGGTCAATGCCTGCGAGCCTCAAGAAAACACAAACCAAACAAAAGCTCCAGGGGTGCCTCTTTGAAGGTCCAATGGAAAACAAAATTTCTCAGAGCACCTCAGCAAATTGGGTTTCCATTCCGCAACGTTGTGAAAGGAAAGGATCCTTGGATTAGGAATGCGATGGACTTACAACTAGAACTGTCCAAAAGAGACCTTCAAAGCCATCTTCAGGCTTAGGGGAAATATAGTGGGAAGGAAGAGAGGCGTGGAAGGGCAAGAATACGAAAGAGATAGCCCTTCCTCTGCTCACCCCTTCTTCCTCTCTTCGCTCTCTCATAATCTCAGATCCAGCCCTCGGTGAAAAGCGAGACAAGGCAATGGTTGATGGAAGGACATCCCATCCTTCCTCACCCCATCTCTTCATCTCTTCTCTTGTCCTTTCTCTTTCTTTTTCCCTATTTCTCACCACTTCTTCCTCGCTCTTTTTCCACTTTGGAAGCGAGGAGGTGGTAGAGAAAGGGAAAGAGAAGAAAGAGAAGAGACAAGCCAACCCTCCATTCCCTTCCAGTCCTAACTGATGCTGAATGGAGGATGTAGAGCAACTCCTGATTCTTTTTTGAGCTACGCCTAGTTCTTTGTTAGCTTTCAGACTGCAAGTACACATGAGATAGCCCAATACACTGATCAATTCTGGTGGGCACTGGCCAAAACTGGTCAAGACCGGCTAAACCCTGATTGAGTCTCCCACCCTTGCACTTCACAATGACCGTCATTTGTTTGCAATCGGGATTTCACCTCAGAATCACGATGTCCAAGATGCTTTGCTTGTTCGCCACATTGGACTCTCTCCAAATGGGGTGCCAGGCCTTTGAAGGCATGACAAGCAGAAACAACCTCAGTACAAGTACCCCACCCCCATTGTTAGACAGAGACAAGCAGACCTGCCTGGGCCGGCGCTCACCAGTGGACACCTGGAACGTAAGTTACTGAACTGGCATCACCTTGAAGCTAGCATCTAACAAAGAAGCTGAGCGGATGCATCAACTGAGTCTGGACTGTCTGGACGGACATTCCTATAATATGATGAATATGTCCCTGTGCGTGTTTGCACAAATCAGAGATGTCAGGACAAACGTACAATTCAGCACAATCCCCTGCGACTACAATCAACAAACGCTTGAAACAATGAAAACAGGTCTAGACCATCCTGGCAGCGCTTTTGGCTCTCGCTGCCGAGAGACTCGTCCCAGTCGAAAACCGCAGTTCGCTCGTTCTCGCGATCACTTAGGAGATGGAGCAGCTCGATCCTGCTGGCGCCGAGCTCCTGGATCTGCTTCGCAGTCTCTCGAAGCCACTTCTTGATGGCGCTCGGCCGCCGCCGACAGCGCAGGCAGAGCACCGCTGTCCCGTTGCTGGCAAGCAGCGGGGAAGGAGCTGTCGAAGAAACTTGCAAGAGCTGGCGGAATGCCGAGATGGCCTCCTCCCCTGTGCCGATGTCCACCAGGAGGAGGTCTGCACGGCACCCGCTGCGGCCATCCGACAAAGGGAACCATTCACCCCGAAGCGACCGCACCTCCACGTCGCTCCAGGAGTTGACAGTGCCTGCCCAGCCAGTTCGGTTGCTGCAAGTCACCTCCGCAGCCGGGCTCTCCGCCCACTGCTGAGCCCATCCGTCGGCATCCGCGGCATCCGCGGCATCCGAGGCCGCGGCCCACAGCGCCACCGCCTTTGGCCCGAGGCGCGCGGGCCAGCGGCGCCGCACCTCGCCGAGGCGCTGCTGCAGCCGGGTCTCCCGCGCCGCCCGCGCCGCCCGCGCCGACCAGGCCACGGGGTCCAGGACTTCGCGCGGGAGCAACGAGAAGTGAAAGCCGTCGGACTCCACCACCGTCAAAATGTGGCTGAAGTGCACCGGGGACAACTTCTCCGCCGGCAACGCCTGGCAAACAGCGGACTCCAAAGCCTTCGGTCGCGCAGACACACGCAGGCTGGGGCTTGCAAGTCGGCTTTCGGCAAGCAGCTTGCCAGCAGCACTCAACAGTTCCGGCATGTCCGGAGCAGTGCTTACAATGGGCAGCAGGCGTGTGACCACCCGCTGCAACAGCACATCTTGGCCAAGCCATTGCAGCACACCCCCTATTGCGTCTTTGTCTGTGGCGCAGCAGAGTGCATTTGGGGCTCTGAAGGGTGCCTCCGTTGTAACAGCTGTTAGGTGCAAACGCCCAGAATCCCGCTGTGACAGAACGTATGCGGCCAGCCTTTCTATCAGGCTGCCTGGAGCTGTCGCCTCCAACTGCAGCAGCACAAACACCGACGTCTGGGCCGCGATACCCAGCACGTCCGGCATGGGATGGGCTGGAAGGGCCGGAAGCGCAAGAAGCAGGACGTTGTCCGGCGAGGTCTGCCTGCTACAGTACTCCAAGGCCTTGACATGTAGCCCGGCAGACCTCAACCTGGCGAGCCGAGCTTCGTCCAGCACCCGGCATGCCTTGCGGCCCAACTCTGCTTCCTCAGCTTCGCCCACAAAGTCACGCAGGCGCCAGTTTGCGCAGGTCGAGCCGGCACCGGCCCGACCTCGACCGACTCTGGACAGGCGGATGATGTCGATGAGGACTTCAAACTCGTCCGCTCCCAAGCCGGAGCCGTCTAGCCAGGCCTTCGTCTGCGTGCAAAGGGTGTCCCACTTCATGGTGACATGGCAACAAGGAGCCAAACAAAGCAAGCCAAGCCTGCTTCCAAGCCTCACCGCCAGGGAGATGGCGTCATCTGACCCATGCCCACAGAGATGCTTGGCAATGAGGGCAATGTTCTTCGCATGCGGCCACTCATCATCTGCCAAGTTTGCCACCTCTGCCCGCATTCGGCTCACGCTCGGATGCGCCTCACCACCCTCACGGCCCTCACCGCCCTCGCGGCCCTCTCCGTCGAAGGCGTGGAAGGCGTGGAAGGCGTCGAAGGCGTCGGTGTTGCCGCGGCGGTCGACGGCCACGAAGGCGCAGCCGCTGGCGACGCCCACGGCGTGGCCCAGGATGCCCTGCCCAGCGCCCAGCTCCACCACCAGGTCCCAACGTGAAGGCGAGCCACGCGAAGGCTCCTCTAGCTCCCGGCTTGGGAGGCGCAGGCAGTGGGATGCGATGGCCTCGATCTGAGAGCGGTGCTTCAGAGCCTTGGCCTGCTGAAAGGTGGGCTTTGAGCTGGAGCTGGCAATGCCACCCACCGCTTGCACTGCCTCAGGCAAAGACCTGTCCCGGAATTCTTCCACTGGGCAGACCGGGCACTGCCTCAACCAAGGCAACACCTTCTCGATACAGGCGACACGGACGCTCCGCTTGCCTTCCGCGTCCATGACGACCGTCTTGCAACCATCAGGATTGGATATCTTACGCTTCTACGTCTGTATCTTGTGACTTCAAGCACAGGCCACCTAACGCAGCACCTGGTTGAACGTGTGGTTTTGCCAAAGGTCATAGTTGAGACATACCGCAAGCAGTCACAACATGGCAAATGTTCAATTCATGCAATGGCCAAGATGTTTGCAAACACCTCCTGAGAGCCAGGATGAATCGGCACGCACTTGCAGAAGCGACTTCTTGAAGGATGTCCCAGGCGCCAATTTTGACGAGCAATGAAGTCACGCCAATCACACTGCCCACCACAGTAGTTCCAGAGTAGCCACTTTTGGTGAAATCGATTTGCCAATGCTTCACATCATGAATTGGCTTCTTGCGCGGAGTGTAGGGGACCTGCTGTTCGCACTCACATCGACACAGCAGAGAAAAACAGCCGACATCGTCGATTGAAACCTGCCCCTCCAAACCAGCGACTGCAGCCCTGCCTGTGTGGAGCATTGAGCAGGGCAAGGCACTTCCCAGGAACACTGCTCTGCCTGCCCCAACTGCTTTCTCGCAAGAGAATGTTTGCATGAATGCAGTGCAAGCGAGGAGCCTGCGAACGTGCTTTTCGCCAAAATTCGGGGAGAAAAAAGAACACAATCCTTCAGCGTACTCATTCGCAAAAGGATGGTGGGCCCGGAATTGGGGTGGCTCATTCGGCAAACTCAAGCCTCGAGGCCAAAGATTCCATCCTCAACAAACATTTTCCGGAGCAGGGGAATGCCTCAAAATAATGTCCGGTTTTGTCCAAGCAAAAGAGCGGGGGGTGGGGGGAGTCCTTCAAGAATCATTTACTCGCCGCAGAGTCAAACATATGGGTGGAAAAAAAGGCTGAACACAAAGGTTGGGCGAAGCCTGCTAACTTTTGCAAACCACCCATCGATGTCTTATTGTCCTTTCTTAAACAGTGTGCAAGGTGGATCGAGTTGACTAAATCGATCAACAAGTAAATGACACGTTGAGGGAAAGCATGCGTTGCAAATCATGAACGAGTAGTAGCAACAAAAGGGTGTGTCCAGGCATCATGCGCTCAACGTTTCGCAAGAGGTCGTCTCCAAAAACATAAAGAAAGCTGAATGTGCCGAAATGTTTGGACGTGAGCAGCACGTATTCGGCGCAGCCTCCAGATGCACTTATTGAAGGCGACGCTAGTTTCTGCACCAGCACCTGACATCCCAGCATGAATCACGCCTGATGCCTGCAAAGGCTTCACGTCGCAAGGGCGACAACCAATATCGTCTGGGCAACATAATTTCAGTCAGAGTCAAGACGAGGCCCTGGACAGCACTTTCAAGTCTGTTTGGTATTTTAGGACCACGGGGGACAGGCCTGCATAGGTAAAACCGACATATGCTGCACCTGCCTCGAATCCGAAGCCGTATCCTTGACAGACCTTAGACGCGCCTGAGGCTGTAGCCACCAATACCAAAAGCCCCTAGTGGGAAGGCTGGTTGACTCAGCTCACAGCTCTTCGCTCTTCTGCAGTCTCGATTCATAGGCGTAGAGCCAGTGCCAGGTCGGCCGCAGAGATTTGCACCTGAAGGGATAAGATCGCAAACAATGAAATGTAGGGAGAGATCGTCAGTTTGGACTTGTCAAAACGCAAAGCCCCCAGCAGCACGGCGGTGCTGTGCGAGGTTGCGTGCCTGCGTGGGCTTGTCTGTACGAAGCGGAAACAACGAAACCAACAAGCATCCGTTTGCTCACACCAAGCCAACGATGCATGAACTGCCCTTCCTGTTCCCAGCCACTCCGAAGCAACCGGCCCGCTGTTTTGACAAACTCAGCAAAAATTACACCAGCTTAGACCCTACGATTGCAAGCCAGGACCTCTAACAGCACTGCCTGAAGAGCACCACCCCAAACAGCATCCGAATTCTTCACCGGATCACTCAATCGGTGGGAGCGACGGGCGGTGTGTACAAACGGCAGGGACGCAGCTAGCACGAGCTGTTTCCGGCAAAAACAAAACTCAGTGTAGCGCGCGTGCAGCCCAGGACAGTTAAGGGCATCACAGACCTGTTGTTGCCTCAAACTTCCCTGCGTTAGACACACAAAGTCCCTCTAAGAAGTTGCCCTTTGGCAGGTTGAGGTCTCCTTTGTAAACGGAAGTAACCAGCCAAATCACTCCACCAACTAAGAACAGCCATGCACCACCACCCATAGAATCAAGAAAGAGCTATCAAATTGTCAATCCTTACTATGTCTGGACCTGGTAAGTTTCCCTTGTGTTGAGTCAAATTAAGCCGCAGGCTCCATTCCTAACAGGCAAATGCTTTCGCAGAAGACTGTCTTCAACAAATCCAAGAATTTCACCTCTGACAGTTAAATGCGAATGCCCCCAACTATCCTATCCATCAGTGCCTCAGCTCTAGAAACCAACAAAGGGGTGCATGCTTGAAACACTCTAATTTCCTCAAGGTAAAAGTCCTAAATGCCGCGCCGCACAGCGAAGGATGTGAAGGCTGAGCCAGATGCACACCCAAATGCGAACCGGCCACCCCCAACACAAATCCAACTACGAGCTGTCGAATTGCGACAACTTTACTTTACGCTATTGGAACTGGAATTACTGCGGCTGCTGGCACCATCCCAACACAGCACCGCACCATCACCAACACCTCAAACAGCACCCAAAACAGCACCTGCAGAAGAATGCCCAAACATGCCCCCTAGCACCCTACCGTCAATCTTGCAAAAGAGCGGCCGCACCGTCACCCGCATGCCCCCTAGCATCCAGCCAACAATCTCGCAAATGAATCACTTTCCCTTCTTTATCACCTATAGCTTTCAGTTATCTGGGGATCAGCTATCTGGGCAAAAGCGAGTTACGTTCAACGAACAAAAATTACACCAGCCTCGACCCCAGATAGCGAAAAACACCCCAAAATTTGTGCACCCGCACCTCCACCAGCACCCCTCGAAGAGCACCCCAACACCCGTCCGAAAATCTCGCAAAGATGCGCCCGCAACGTCCCCAGCACCTCAAACAGCACCCTAAACTACATCCCAAAACACCAGCACGTCAAACTACACGCCCCCTAGCACCGTAACATCAAGATGCAAAAATGCCCCCGCACTGTCACCTGCATGCCCGCTCCAGCACCTCAAACAGCACCCCTAAACACACAAATCACGTTCCCCTCTGCATTAGAAGTTAGAATTCCTATAGATTTCAGCTATCTGAAAAACTATGACTTAGCAGAAGCAGTCTACGCTGGGGCCATCTTGCACGGAAGAACAAATGCAAAGGATACTGGAACAGGCTGAGCCTTGTCAAGCACATCCACCGCCCAAGCGTCCATCCGTTTGTCCAAGACATCAGCAGCCTCTGCGCCTCAGGCGAAAATGGCGCCATGCACATTCACGCGACGAGTGCGGCGACGCGTGACGAGTGCGGCCAGGGGGCTGACGCCCATTTGGCTGACGTATCTGTAGCCAGGCCGGGTGCTAATCCTCTGCAAAGCCTGACAGTGCGGCCCATGCCCTCTTGACGCCAGACTCAGGCCACCTTGGCCAAAGCATTGCGCCTGCTGCACAGCAGGCGCCCAAGCTGAAGCGTGCACACAGCTGCAGGCGGATCTGGCTTCCTCTGGCCTGGGAACAGCACTCTCCACAAGCAAGTTTCTATGCATTCCGAGTGCCCCACTTCTCGCCGCGCGCTGCTTGCCAAACCTCCCCAACTTCGTTTGAATCAACTCGAATTGTGCTAGCCATTGTGCCTGCTGTACGCTCCAGACTTTCAGCTGCTGCCCAGCCTGCAGAAATCAGACTGCCCTGCACCCCTGCCATTCCAGCGCACTTTCTCTGCGGCCCTTGCTGGGGCTGGCGGTGGTTTTGTTGACAACGCATTGCCTTCCATGGTGAGAAAATTCTCCACCTGCCAAGCCATGCCAAATCAAGCAGGGCCAAACACAAGTTCTATTGACACCAAAGTGAATGGTCAAGTTCAATGGAAGCTCGTGGGATTGCGTGGTGTGTTTGTCCCCGCCTCGCGGTGCTTGGAAGTCCTCATGCGTTTCGCTTGTCGGTCGCATCCTTCCTGTTCCTTCAAACCATGCCGGCAAAAATTAGAAAATGTGAATGGAATGAAACTGCCAAGAAACCTGAGTGTATGCAAGCGGAGCGTCCATGGCGCAAAGCCAAGTGCTGCGTTTCGCCACTTGGTGCGCAGTACGTATGGCCTTACAACCATAAACCAGCAAATAAGGCTCGGTTGATCTGGCGCGTGGAAATTTCCGAAAGCCAGAGCTGTAGAGCTGTCGCATGCAAAACAATCTTCCATCATCATCGAGAACACAAGCAATGTAAGCATATCTTGCCACCCCCGCGTCGCTGGTCCTGTACCCGTTGCACGCACATTTTCTGCTCGTCTTGAACACCGCAGCCTAATGTTCAAAAGTGTGAACATTGACCTCCCTTACGCTTCAAGAGTCAAGCAAAAATGCACTGCAACGAAAACAACTCAGAGAGTGTGCAAAAGTGCATCATTTTGATTTGAGCCACTTGCAGCCACTCGCAGCCACTCGAGTGGCTGCAAGTGGCTGCAAGTGGCTGCATGTGGCTACATCGCTCGCAACAGCACCGTCGAAGCAGTAGCAGCACAGGATGGTAAACAGCCAGCTACCTTTGTGGCACGAGTTTTCAACACAAAATCTGAATGAGTTTTTGTGCTGAAAATAGGGCTCAGCAGTACCCCCCAGCATCATCAGCATCACCAGCATCCTCAGCATCATCCACTAGACTTGGGAGAAGCCACCCGTTACGGTAGCGCAAAAAGCCACTTGCAAGACCAGAGTTTTCAGCACAAACAATTATATAGTTTTTGTGTTGAAAACAGGGCTCAGCAAAACCCCCAGCACCATCAAAATCACCAGCATCATCTACTAAAGCCATCCTTTGCTAGCGAAAAAAACCACTTGCAACACAGCACAAAATCTTGACCAGTTTTTGAGTTGAAAACAGGGCTCAGCAACACCCCCAGCATCATCAGCATTACTAGCACCCTCACGCAGTTGGTCGAAGACAAAGTGAGTGCCGTGTAAAGATGTCAGAGGGAAGTCTTTTTATTTGAGGGGTCTACCTACAAAAATAGGGTATGTTGCTGGAAAAGCAAGAGCAGACCTCATGAGAACAAAGTAAGAACTACTAGCAAAAAGGGCGTACGTCAACACAGGGGGACCCCAAAAAAGACTGTTTTCCGCCTGGCTTAGCGGATGATTTTCAGAGCTTAATCAGATTCAGATTTGCTGTTGACAAAGTGGTTTGGTAAGGCCATCTGTCTAAGGAGCTTGTGGGGATGGCTTTGAAGACAAGACCAAGTCCTTGGACGGGCGTCGGCTCATGCGCTTAAAGTTGGCACCCCCGCCCAACTAGAAATGCATGCGTGGTTTGCGTCGTTCGACCTTGCTGAACCCGACAAACGCAGATTGACCCAGAATATATCTATCTACCTATCTATTGATCTATCGATACATCTATCCCTCTAGCTGCACCTCCTTGCGAAAGTGCTGCGCATGCCACGAAATCTGTGCAAAGGGGCAACAAAACCACTCGCGCGGCACGAGTTTTCAGCACAAAAACTCATATAGTTTGTTGCGCAGCAGCACCCCCAGCATCATCAGCATCACCAGCATTACCCTCAGCATCGTGCAGCCGACCTGGGAGGGCCTCTAACAGAACCACTCGTGTGGCACGAGTTTTCAGCACAAAAAACTCATATATGTTTGTGCTAAAAATGCCAGGAGGCGATCCAACCACGAAGTCAACGACAAGGCAATTGGGGTTCGAATCTCGTGGGGTTGACCACTACCCTCGGTTGTAAGGCTGTGTGGTAGGGGTTGGAGTAAATAGGGATGTAAGGATGGCATGGCCTGCGTTATCTCACAACTGCCTGCAACAGCGGATCGCGGCCCTTTTGTTTCTTTACAGCACTCTATTGGATCTTAGTCTTGAGCCTTGAGCCAAAGCATCCATGTGCGTTTGTCGGCTGCTCACACACCAACATTTCCACAAAGGTTTCGAGGGACCTTAAACAAGGGGAAGAGAACCTCACTGGCTGAGTGGATGGCCCCAAAAAAGTCCAAACTTTTTGTTTACTACTAAAATGGTGTTCCCAAAAAGTTTAAAGTTCATGAACTCAGGAAGTGAGGAACAGGGTGACCCTCAGAACCTGCCCATGGGATTTTGGCCTGTGGCCCGGAGATTCTTAGCATCCCCCATCCTGGGCTCGGGTTCATCTCGGGGTCAGGACCCAAACGCAACCACATGCCGACATGCATGGACGCGCGGCTTTTCTTATCCAATTCTGTGAAACGTCTCTGCAAGAGTTTGACCAGGTTCTCTACACTTAACAAGAAATGGGAATGCTACAGGTCGCATACCGGGCCTCGCGCGTCGTAGCAAAGGATCAAAAGGGTAGTAGTACAAACCCAGGTAGGTCTGCAGAAAACGAATATCCATGATGAGCATAGTCCACCACCAAAAGGGATTTGTAACATCGAACATCCATTGGCATCTCCAGAGTAATAGTCGCCGATGACGACACTGTACGGGAAAGAAAATGTGTTGGTAGGTGACCAATGCAACGTCTCATGCAAATATTTTCCACGCACGATGTGTACCATAATGCCGTCGTGAGAATGTGTTCTCCACGCAATCTCCTTCGTAGTAGAGGTTGTATTGGAAATGCGTTGTAATTGCCTTTCTGCTTGCCCTCCATCGGAACCTATCCAACAATGATCTTGGTGTCTCATCGGTCCGATTTATCTTGTCGATATAACGTGAGGGCAGATGTACATTGCGATGATAGCACCGTTGAATGAGAGGATTGTCAACCTCCCCGGCTGGGCCAATCTTCATCAGTTCTGTAAAAGGTCATATAATCGCAGTTGAACGCAAGAGCGACACATCGGAAAATCATGTCACTCACGAACGCGGTGATTTTTCTGGTGGGTGATACCTCTGAACTGCTCTGCCTTGAGACCAAGGATGTCGCACGCGGTCCAGCTCCGATACATCAAATATAACCCTTTCAGTTTCAGGAACCAATTAAACTTATCCTTTGAGCCAAAGCACACCCACCCCAAACTAAACCTACAACAGACCCAACAAGCCCGAATCCTTAGAATAAGGGACAGCACGCCCAAACGGAAGGGAGGGGACCTTAGAGGCAAATCACATCACCTCAGGAACGGCTCACATCGATAAGCTGGCGCGGACTCTTTTGCAGGCATGGGGTGAAAGGCGAAACAGCTTCCAAAGCTGTAGAACAGATTAGCACTCAATGCTTTCCATGCCGCACGAACAAGACGCACATGCTGTCTTGCGGCGTCGCCCACTTACCCCCAGGGTTGGGAGGGTGGGTCAAAATCAAACTCACGTGCCATTGCACACAGTGCTCTTGCAGCCAAAATTGAGCGCAACCCAAACGGCCTCGTTAGCTTCAAAGACTTGGCGGGCACCATCCAAATGACGGCGCAAGGTCTTTAATGCAACTGCTGCCCACACGGCCCAAATCTGCACCTCTGCAAAGCGCAAACAATCCTTAAAGGTTTCCCAGCGAGCTGGCTTAATCGTCCATCTCCAAGGACCTGATCGACAGTCGCGGTCAGGTTGAGTTCTCAGTCTTCCGTGTTACTGACTTCGACGATGGCTCGGTCCCAAAGCCCAATACTGACTTCCAGTCCCAAAACAATGCACACCGTGCTGAAGTCGCATCCTGTCATCTGCAGTCCGAATCGTTGCAGTGCGATTGGCATCGAAATCCCAAGCAAAACATACATAATCGTCAAAGTAAACGCACCAAGGAAGCTTCAGGCTCTGACCCCGAATGTCCACACGGCATGACAAAGTTGCCGACGCTTGAACTGACCCGAACGGGATAACCACGGCCTGGTAACTCTCAAGACCATCGCACGCGTCGTCCAGCAACTCCATACAGATTGAAAAACTGCATGTACAGCTTGCTACAATTTCAATGACCTCAGTAGCAGTTGCCGACCTTGAAGGTTGCTCATCAAGATCCCAGCAAGCCCGACCACGACGTCGCAGTTGTGGACACCCATCCAGCCGCGGCTGTTGCCGAGTTAATACAGCTGGCCGCAATATCATTAATCGGCCGCACCTGTATCTCGTCACGCATGGTGGCGGCAGGCCTGATGCGCGGCCTGAAGACATTGCTTACCGGCACCAAGCCGGTCAGATCGACACCAGGTAGAAGCTGCTGCGGTAGGCTACGATCCTCCCAGCCAATCTCATCAAGCCGAGCGTTCCCTGCAATGCTCGGGCGCAGCCATACACGCCTTGCATCCTCTGCTCGCCACTCCAATGCTTTAATGGCCCAACGTCGAATTGTCTCGGCCCTTTCCAAAGCACACGCTGCAGACGTGTCCGGGGAATTGGCACCCACGACATCTGAGAGGTCACCCGGCAA